CAAGGCCAGTGAGGAATCTGTTTGACCTTATGCTCTTGGCTGAGTTTGACATCCAACAAATATCCAGGTAATTGAAGTCCCCATTACTACTATCTCCTTCCTTTTGCATGCTTGGCCATCTGTTCCAGGAAGGCATCATCTATGTCCTCCGTTTGGCTTGGGGATCTATAGTAAACTCCCACAATGAGGTCACTGTTATTCTTCTCTCCCTTAATTTTGACCCAAATGCTCTCACTTTGGCTTTGAGGTTCTAAATCTTGGATCTCTTCACAGGTATACACATCCCTGACATATAACGCCACTCCTCCTCCTTTCTTGTCTGGTCTGTTTCTCTGAAATAGATTGTATCCCCCATTATTACATTCCAATCGTGGGACTTATCCCACCAGGTTTCAGTGATGCCTATTATGTCATATTTAGTTTGCTGTACCAAGAGCTCAAGCTCATCTTGTTTATTTCCATGCTTTGCGCATTAGTGTACAGACATTGAAGTCCATTAATCATTCCCCGTGTCTCTTATTTAAGGATTTTTTCCTCCCACCACTAGGTCTGTGTGCTGTTTGCTCCATTTGGTCTATGACATTTGGATGATCATCTTCATCAATTGATAGACTCCTACCTTCAGGAGCACTGTCTCCCTCCCCCACATTAGTCAGTTTAAAGCCCTCCTGATGAGGTTTCTGAGATTTTTGGCAAAAACATTCCTCCCAGCCGTTGTGAGGTGCACATTCCCTGAGGACTTACTTTGCTGCTCGTCTTCATATACCTTATCGACTGTAATGAGGGAGAGATCCTCAAATGGAGTCTGCTCTTCGTCTTCCATGCTAGGGGAGAGGACCTCAAAGCGATTGTGTATTTCTAAACAATCAGAGCGAACCCTGGGCCTCCTACTTCTTTGAGTCACGTTTCTCCATATATCTGGCTCAGAGGTTTTGAGCAATTTTGTGTGGGTGGATGTAAGGAATGAAAACGTCACTTTTTCATAAAAGGCCCAAAGGTTGCAAGTTGCAATAGCTAAGGAAAAGGTTGTGACAGCTAAGTAACCGCAACGTCGCTTAGAAGCTTACCTTTACTGGCATGGGGTTAGAATGCCTGGAAACAGGGTGGTTTGCTGCTAGAATGTGGTTTATCTGGTCATTTCAGCATGCTTCAGCAGGACAGAACTCATGTCCGCCTAAGAGGCAGTTGGGAAGTGGCTTTATCACTTGGGTAAATGTGTAAGAGCATAGGAACACACTTCCTTATTTGGCCAAAAATAATTAAGGGTGATGGTCCCTGAATTCAGAGGAATGGGAGATGTCAACAGAGGCAGAGAATTTAGTATTTTAATTAGGCGGTCGTGATAAGACACGAACCCTGTACGCCCACAACCAACGGGGAGGCAGAAGGGGGACCTTGCACTTGGTTGAAGGAAATATATGCTCGTGTTTTACTGAACTTGGGTGTGCCTGCTTTTGGACACCTATCCTTTTAAAAATGTGTAAGCAATAAACTCTTTGTTGCTTCACCAATTTTCTTCAGGTTTTATTTTGAAGGGGTCCCAGGACTCAGAATCTTGGGACCTGCATTTTATATCTCACAGTGGAGATGCAACAGTGGGGCAAAGTTAGCGTCGATCTGGCTGATGGTGAACACAATTTATATTTAACCAGGAGGCTAAGGGCAGGAAACATTATTCTTACTCTGATTGGGCTCTAAAGGTAGACGGACCATTAGGTCCAGTCGTGACTGACTCTGGGGTTGCAGCACTCATGTTGCTTTATTGGCCGAGGGAGCCGGCATACAGCTTCCAGGTCATGTGGCCAGCATGACTAAGCCGCTTCTGGTGAACCAGAGCAGCGCACGGAAACGCCGTTTACCTTCCAACCAGAGCGGTACCTATTTATCTACTTGCACTTTGATGTGCTTTCGAACTGCTAGGTTGGCAGGAGCAGGGACCGAGCAACGGGAGCTCACCCCGTCGTGGGGATTCGAACCGCTGACCTGCTGATCGACAAGTCCTAGGCTCTGTGGTTTTAGGATTGGGCTAAAAGCTTTCTCTGTGCAAGGCTATCTCCTTTGGGGGGGAGGTGGAGAGACTTGTCAAAGTGCCCATTCCTACACTGGCGAGTTTAGCTGGTGCAGCAGAAGCAGCAGACATCCATTTAATCCCGAATGTGGCCACCTAGACCATATAACACCGGTCTTAAAGGATCTACCTTGGCTCCAAGCATGTTTCTGAGCACAATTCAAAGTGTTGGTGCTGATCTTTAAAGCCGTAAATGGTTTTGGCCCTGCATACCTGAAGGAGTGTCTCTACCCCCATTGTTCAGTCTGGACTTCGAGATCCAGCTCTGAAGGCCTTCTGGCAGTTCCCTCATTGCGTGAAGTGAAGTTACAGGGAACCAGGTAGAGGGCCTTCTTGGTAGTCCTGACTGCCCTGTGTAGGCTTACCATATTTCAAAAAGTTAAATTCTTGGCACCCCCGAAGTTGTTGAACTGCCCTCCCTATCCAGGCCTATCCAGGTCTCATTTTAACTCTTTCCTGTGCACCCTCCCCTATTACCTGCGTGGCCCCCATCTCCACTGCAGCCCACCCTGGCAACACAAGGAAGTGCCCGCAGGTGTAGCTGGTGGGCAAGCTGAACCAACACTGCCACCTCAACTTCTTCAGGCGAGGTGGCCACACTGGCAGCTCCTGAGCACCCAGCTGCAGACCCTCTCTCACTGCCTCCACAACTGAACTGTCTGCAGGATGCCCCTGGCACGGGGTCTCTTTTTCAACACGCTAGGGGTGGCTAGGCCACTGCATCACCTTCCCCCCTCCCCATCTCCTCGCTCTCCCCCTCCTCCAGCCAAGGGAAGTGACCTTTCATCACTTCCACAGCTGCCAGGGCACGGCCTCCCCTGGAAAAGTTTTTTTAAAAAAACACCCAAAAACGGGGGATGGGGGGACAGAAAACCAATAAAAACCTGGGTTGCCAAATGTTTGGGAAACTCTGGATATCTCTTAACATTAAAAAAAAAATCTTCCTGGATGCCATTTTCGGGGGCCAATTTCTGTACATGTCTGGAATTACCTGGTTGTATGGCAAGGCATCTAAAGGCAGCCTTGTATAGGGAAGTTTTCAGTGTTTGATGTCTTACTGTTTTAATTTGTTGGAAGCTGTCCAGAGTGGCTGGGTTAGCCAGTCAGATGGGTGGCATATAAATATTTGTTGTTGTTGTTGTTATCGTACTGCAGGCATGGAATGTCTGTTGAAGGAAGGTTGGGGGATTTGCTTTCTTTTGTTCTGCCTAAAATGCTTTTTCAGTTTTTTTCTCTGTGAACCATTCTCTAATGCAGCCATGAACAGACTTTAGACTTGTCGTATCTTCTTTGTTTTTTACTAGATCCCCAAGATCTGCCAACCAGAGCCAGTTACATAGAAATACAGTTAGAATTAAAGAATTCTGAGCCCAGGATTGAAAGAACAGGGTGCCTCTGAGAGTAGGAAACTTTTTATGATACTGGAAACGACCTGAGCTCACAGTCGTTTCATTTAGTGTTTCCAGTATCTGATGCTTTACATGCTAACATATTTACAGCTTAATACCAGAGAGAGGTGGCAAAAAATCTGAATCTGTAACTGTATACAAATCTGTCTGAAAATAAGCCCCATTGCACTCCTTCCTTTGAGGCAGACACACAAAATGAATTCCTACCTCATTATATGGAATCCCAAGCTTGCAAAGGCCTTTCTTCACCTCTTCCTTTCTGGCAGCAGTAGCTGCTTTTTCACCCTCTGAGAGACCTTTAGAAATATGGACCTTCACCCTGCCAAAAATTACAAAATAGATCTAACAGAACAGCAGGATATATGAATCATATGAATTAATGAATATTTATATCTCCTGGCTGTGATGTCGTACAATCGATATTTAGTAATCTGCAAGCCACTGTGCTACACTTCTCTCATGAATGATAGGCTCTATTTGTAGCTCCTGGATAAGTGGTTTTCCAAGTAACACCATCATAACCTCCCTAGAGTTGCAGCTATAATTCTGTGGCCCCAACGAAATTGACTGTTTCTTTTGAGAAATAGACATGTCAAGGAGGCCCTATACAGAACTGTCAGAAAAACTATCAATTTGGGTCAGCAACTCCTGCCTTTTCCTTCTGAAACTTGGTTTATTTCTCTCACGTAGCCCACCATGCACCTTATAAATTAGGTCTGGTCTTCAGGTGCAGTGGACAATGCTATTCCATTGAAAATTCAGAAGAAAGATTCAACTAATGGTCCAATTTGCTTTTTTACATGAAATGAGGGTGGGTATCATCTTCTCCTTTGACCCAGGAAGTAAAATGTCTTGGGCCACCCTACCTGCCCCTGGAAGTAACTGATATTCCATGCCACCATATTTAAGGGAAACTAATAGTTCCAAGATCCATTTTTAAGGAAATCAGCCCTGAGTGCTCACTGGAAGGACAGATTGTGAGGCTGAGGCTCCAATACTTTGGCCACCTCATGAGAAGAGAAGACTCCCTGGAAAAGACTGTGATGTTGGGAAAGATTGAGGTCACAAGGAGAAGGGGACGACAGAGGACGAGATGGTTGGACAGTGTTCTCGAAGCCACCAGCATGAGTTTGACCAAACTGCGGGAGGCAGTGGAAGACAGGAGTGCCTGGCGTGCTCTGGTCCATGGGGTCACGAAAAGTCAGACACGACTAAACGACTAAACAACAACAACAACAATAGTTCCAAGAAAGTATGGAGGAGCTATTTTGCCTATGCTGATTTTTAAGTCGTTCCATGTCTTCAGAATGTGGCAAGCCAAAGATCTTAGAAAATGAGCCAACAAACTATAGCATTCCTCCCAAACACACCCACAACAGCAAAATTGGGATAACTGCAACAACTGGTGCTTTCAATTAGTTAAATCCGTCAGCCTTGCAAATAGAAAGCTTGGAGCAGCAGCTGTAAGGCAAATATTGAAGGGATCGTATTACTTCTAAACACATTCCCTCCCACTCTCCTGAGTCATTCAGTACTGGCCAGTAGCAGAGTCCGGGTAGAACTGTGGAATGCTGAATCTCGTGCAGGAAGTCAGCTTAATGTGAAGAAAAGAGGAACACCGCAGGCTCAGTGCCTGCCAGAAATTTAAAACCCTGACATTTAGAGGAAGCCCTTCGGCTACGCTGTCATTTGAGTGTAAAGGCACTGAACCGACCTTGAAGAAATAGGGAAGAGAAGATGGCAAGTCATGCAACTGGGAAGGTAAGCTATACCTCTGAGAATTAGCAGTGCACCTGTCTCTGTGACAGCCATCATGGTACCCTCAAAATGTTGTTGAACTCCCATCAACCCCAGCCAGCATAGCCCATGAGCAGGGATGTGGGTAGTTGTTGTCTGTGAGTCCATTTTATTTGTTAATAGTTGTCACAAATATATAGTCTGTTAGGTCTTAGCATAAGTGGTTGCCAGAACAATGTTATTTATTGAAATTTTGTCTTCATCAGTTGGACTGCTAAAGCAAACATTTTAAGAAAATATGTAGTATATTTCTCATCAACTGCCAACAACGAAAATGTTTTCTCCCTACTATTCAAAAAAGGGAACTTTGGGAAGTCCCACATTTGTCACCCCTAACTACCAGTTGGCACCTCTATACTTTTCTACAGGAATACTTCTCTACAGCAATTCTGCTCAAATTGTGTGGAGGGGCTGGGGAAGCTGTAGCCCCCCCCCCATGTTATTGGCCTATATCTCCTGTTATCCCAGACTATTGGCTATGCTGGCTAAGGGTGATGAGAGTTGGGCATACAGCAACACCGAGCAGGTATATTATAGTAGACTCAGCCAAGGGTTGGTGTGCATCTTCATTTGCTACTGTTCCCACATGGCAAAGTAGATATTTGAATGGAAACATCTCACACCTCCCAAATAAGGAACAGTGTGATGTGAAACAACCCAGTGTGGATATCACTATATAGAGCTGGGGAACACAGCCACAGATGTCATTGCTTCAAATTAAGATACTAGCTTTCTTGGCTGAAGGCCATCACATGGTAAGTATCAAGTGCTCTGCTTTGTACGTGTTGGCATGTGACTGTAAGTGTTCTGTTGGATCTGTTTTGTATTTTTTTGGCAGGGAGAAGCTAAGGTCCGTATTTCTAAAGCACTCTCAGAGGGTGAAAAAGCAGCTACAGCTGCCAGAAAGGAAGAAGTGAAGAAAGGCCTTGGCAAGCTTGGGATTCCATATAATGAGGTAGGAATTCGTTTTGTGCGGCTGGCTCAAAGGAAGGAGTTCATTTGGGCTTATTCTCAGACAAGTTTGTATATGGTTGCAGCTTCAGACTTTTTGCAATCTCTCTCTGGTATTAAACTGTAAATACATTATCATGTAAAGCATCAGATATTGGAAACACTAAATGCCATTGACTGTTACCTGCTAAATACAGTCGTACCTCTGCTTACGTATCCCTCTGGATACGTAAACTTTAGGATGTGAACGTGGCAAACCTGGAAGTATTTTTCTGGGTTCAGAAGCACTAAACCGCGCCGCACACATGCGCAGAAGCGGTCCTCTGGTTGCGAATTCCTCGGGATGTCGCCAGGCCTCCAGAGGTACCACTATACTGTGAAAAGATCAGTTGTCTCAGAACCAAATTCAGGGTGATTCATAATGAAGTATACAGTTTCAACACATTATATATATAAAAAGAATGTAATATATCTTACGTTACCTGTAACAGAATTGTAGGGGAATGTTTAAAGTTTTTTTTAGAAACAGTCACAGATACATTTTCTGTTTGGAGGTTTCCCCCAAATCGCGATCGAAAATGCCGTTGCACAACAGTTACCGATTCCGTTCTGCTCAATTCAAGAACACGTCTTCTCCACTGCAGACACAGCCATTTTGCCTGATTAGTCACATGACACGTGCACTATCGCCCACGTCACTTCCCTCAGTAGCAGAATACAAACTTTACAAGTACATCTACCTCACGGTTTGCAGTTGCGGTCCGTGTCATCGCCTGTTACTGTTTTACAGCATCTGGAAACTGTATACTTCATTATGAATCACCCTGTATTTAATTCAAAGACATCAAAGTTGATGTCAAACAATATCTAACCTACAGAGGCTACCTACTGAGTATATCTACATTCCTTCCATTAGGACCAAATCCCAAATATTGCTGTCCTGGGATCAGGTGGAGCTGTGCGGGCCATGATTGCTCTCTATGGGACACTAACAGAGCTGAAGAAATACAACCTCTTGGACTGTGTGATGTACTTGGGCGGGGTGTCAGGTTCCACCTGGTAAGTGCAGAGTGGTAGAGGGGAGAGCAAATACAGGACTTAAGAAGGTAGAATTATTTGCCTTGCTAGCTAGATCAGATGAAGTTAGACGCCATCTTGGCAAGTAAGTGTTACATTTATAAATACATAAATATGCTTTGCCTCCCCTTTCACAGCCCAGTGCCCTGCAGTTATTTTGAACTACAACTCCCGACAGCTCCAGCTACTCCAATAATAATAATAATAATAATAATAATAATAATAATTACCCCAGCCACTTTGGGCGACTCCAAACAGAATAAAAAAGTGATAAAATATCACACATTAAAAACTTCCCTAAACAGGGCTGCCTTCAGATGTCTTCTAAAAGTCAGATAGTATTTCCTTGACATCTGATGGGAGGGCATTCCACAGGGTGGGCACCACTACCGAGAAGGCCCTCTGCCTTTTGGTAGGTTTTGGTAAATGATATGGTTGTTTAAGGTTTAAGAATTCATATAAATCTCTCTCCCCTCTCTTTTGCGTAATGCTAGAATCCAGGATCATCCAATGTGGGGAGATTCAGGACAGATAAAAGGAAGTACTGCACATAGTATGGAATTCTCTGCCACAAGGTGCAGTCGCTACCACTACTCTGAGTGGCTTTTAAACAGATTCATCGAGAATATGCTTATTAGTAGCTTCTATTCATGATGGCTAAACACTATTTCCAGTATCAGAGGTCCAAAGTCTCTGAATAACAGTTGCCGAGGATCCAGGGTGGAGTAGGGAGTTGCTATTGCAACATGTCCTATACATGGGCTTCCTGTAGACATCTGAATGGCCAGAGTAAGAACAAGATGCTGTTCTGCTATGGCCTGGGGAGGTTTGGCAATACCAGTGTTGCAGGAAGAAGTCAACCTTACACAGTGACTGGCAGAAGCTAATGTGCCAACAAGCTGGTTTTACCACATGACAACAGCGTTCTCATTACCCGGTCCTACAGATTCCTTCAAAATAAATTCCTAATGAGGGTCACATCTGAAATCCTTCCATTTTTTCCAACATAAATGTTCTATTTCATTAAAAGGTGCATTTCAGCCTTTTTACTTCTAAACCACCTCTAAATGGCTCGTGCCCAGGTAATAACACCTTAAAGAAAAGCACAACCAAGAGAGATAGACAAGTTTAGCATCCAGCAGGAACCCAGTTTACGGAGAAATAAGCTATTGAAATAGGACAGCTTCCAAAGCAGAATCATCAGTTAGGAGAACTACCCAGAAGGCAATACATCATTAGCTCATAGGATGCATACATGAAAGGAGAGCTCAGGGAGCTAAAACTGTCTTGCTTTACTTTATCTTCTTCTGTCCATCAAAAAGTCATTAACATACCATTCTTATATCTTCCCAAGTTTTAGGGAAGATCGAGGAGATACTAACCTAAACTTCCTGACCATCTGTGCCCTTGAGCTACACAAACAATCCTTCAGGGATAGATAAGCAAGAGATACAGTGATTCAGTAGTTTACACAATGTAGAAAGACAGAAAGAGAGACTGTTACAAAACGCAGGGATACAAGAATTAAACCACACATTGATACATAATTCTATACAGTGGTACCTCGAGTTACAAACCCCTCAGGTTACAAACGCTTCAGGTTACAAACTCCACTAACCTGGAAGAGTTACCTTGAGTTGAGAACTTTACCTCAGGATGAGAACAGAAATGATGTGCCAGCGGTGCAATGGCAGCAAGAGGCCCCATTAGCGAAAGCACGCCTCTATTTAAGAACAGTTTCAGGTTAAGAACGGACCCCCAGAACGAATTCAATTCATAACTAGAGGTACCACTGTATAGAGAATAAATGCAATTACTGTGGGATAGATACATGAAGCAGCTAAAACAGAATCCTTGTGTCAAAATTTATGTATTAAATCTTACGCAGTGGCAGCCACTGACAGAAGATAATGTGCCAACAAGCTGGTTTTACCATGTGACAACAGCGTTCTCATGGCCCAGTCATATGAATACATTCAGTGCTGGATTTATGTATAAGCTAAATAAGCTATAACTTAGGGCCCCACTCTCTTGGGGGGCCCCCAAAAAATTAAAGGAAAAAAATTACAATTACTTTGATAAAATACATATTTTGGTTTGTGCAAATTGCTTTAGATACCTATTAGGTCCATAAATTACCATATAGCATAAATTCAACACAAAAAACAGTGACAATTTGTTGTTGGCAAAGGACAGCTGGACATATAAAGGGCCCCATTACCTTCAGTAGCTTAGCGCCTCATCAAACCTGAATCTGGCCCTGAATACACTCCAAATGACTAGCACAGAAATCCTTCGCATGTTTTCCAATGTAAATGTTCTGCTTCATTAAAAGGTGCATTTCAGCTCTCTACAAACATGAAGACTGGGCAGAAAAAATAGAAGCCTTAGAAAAAAGTCAGTGTGAAACCCTTGTCAAAGGCCAGTGGGAATTTCAGAAGGCAATGAAAGCTGTGATTGGGGCTGCGGAAGATGAATGTTACTCTTTGACTGATTTCTGGTCCTATTTCCTTGTGCACAAACTGCTAAACGAGGTGAGTGGAGAACTGTAACACACACACACACACACACACACACACACACACACATGTTCTTCTACAAGGGTGGGAAATCACATTTCCATCGCCACATACCAAAGATGGGCAGGACCAGGGCTGTCTTAAGCATATGCAAAGATCCGCCCGGCGCCCCCAGGTGCCTAGTCCCAGGCGTGCAGGAGGGCAGAGCCGGTCGGCTGCCTCAGCATCTTGCTGGCTCTGTCGCCCCCGAACTTGCGGCGCAGAGCCGCCCGCAGCAGAAGAGCCTCTTGTGGCGTTCCAACTGATGGGTGGGCTCTTCCTCGGACTCAACCCTCGGGCCCCAGCTTCTCGGCCTGGCGCCCCTGAGAGCCTGGTGCCTGGGTGCCCTGCACCCCTAGTGCCTATGGGCAAGAAGGCCCTGGGCAGGACCAAAGCCAAAACTAGGTGAAGCAACAGATATGAGAGGCTCTATTACAGTTCAGGGTCGCATCCCAGTATGGCGAAAGCACTTGGGCGGGGCTCTTGAGGGGTGTGGCCTGTAGAAAGACCAGGTGCCTAGGAAGGACTGAAGGGATATGTGTATATGTTGTTATTAGTAGTATTAGTATATTATTTCACCCATGTGGGTAGAAGTGCTTTGAGGCTGTGTTATACATAGCATTCCTGGAAGACCAGGGTTGAAGCTCCCTTTAAAGAGGGCCAAGAGTAGTTTGGAAGCCATTTAGGTATCAAATTAATTTAATTTAACCAAATGCCTGCATTTCAGCTTGATGAGTCTGAACTACCTGTGCACAGGGGAGCTTGTGAGAATGGGAAAAATCCTTACCCGATCTATAATGCTGTGGACAAGCAAACCTATGAGCAACAACATGCAGGTAATTATATCTATTCAGACATACATATTGTGTCTAAGAAAATCAAAACAGGCAGATGGCCATTTGTTGGAGGTGATAGCAGTCGCGTCCTGCATTGAGCAGGGGCTTGAACAAGATGACCTCCAAACTCCCATTCAGCTCTGTTTCTATAACTAAGTTTTGCAAAGGAAGAGAAAACTGGTGAATGGAATCCAGGCATGCAATTAATTAATTTTAATTAACATCCAGCCCACTTCCAGTGTTTGGGGCAGACAATAATATTTCCCTCACAGTGTTAAAATCCCCAGAGTTTTCTGGGAAGAGGGGCTGAATATTAAACCACTCTGAGAATTGTAGCTCTGTGAAGAGAATGGAGGTCTCTTAAATCTCAGCACCATTGACAATCTATAGTTCCCATGATTCTTGGGGGAAGCCATGACTTTTAAAAGTGGTATGATACTGCTTTAAATGTATAGTGCAGATAAGGGCATAACTCAACACCCAAATATTGGCTCTGCAAATACAGTGGTATCTCGGGTTAAGTACTTAATTCGTTCCGGAGGTCTGTTCTTAACCTGAAACTGTTCTTAACCTGAAGCACCACTTTAGCTAATGGGGCCTCCTGCTGCTGCCGTGCTGCCGGAGCACGATTTCTGTTCTTATCCTGAAGCAAAGTTCTTAACCTGAAGCACTATTTCTGGATTAGCAGAGTCTGTAACCTGAAGTTTATGTAACCCAAGGTACCACTGTAGCCAGATGTATCAGGACAGAAAACTGTTGTACTTAATTGCTGAGTGTTAAAATGGCTAATGCTGAAACCCTCACTCGCATTCCCCAGGAGCAAGGAAGGTCCACTGATTTCAACAGGTTTTACTTCTGAGTAGACATGGTTGGAATTATGCTGTAAGCTGTCATTCTGTCTCTTCATGATGTAAATGTTAAAGTAGCACATCTCTTCCTATTTCACCATTTAGATGTGAGAAGTCTTTACTCACCACCCTGAGGGAAGTTACTAATCTTACTGAAATTTGTTTCAACTTCTTTCAAAATCCCAACAGATGTTTCTCTTGTTGCTGTAAGGGAGATGTTGGTGGCAGGTTTGCTCATATTTCCCCTGGGCATCCAGCCCTTCTCATATCTTTCCCTCCAATCTTTTGTTTGTTTTCCAGGCACCTGGTTTGAATTCACCCCACACGAAGCTGGGGTTCCTGGCCTGGGAGCATATGTAGATATGAAGCACTTTGGGTGCGTATTTGAAAATGGGCAACTGACTGAAGAGAAGAAGAAAAGAGATATCTGCTATTTGCAAGGTACCTGACCTCCCTCAGCATCTTAAGAGCATGCCATTCCCTGAATGCCAAATTCCAAGGAAAGTAACACATTCTGTGTTCTCATGGCCAATGAATAGGAATGTAAAGGAGGCTCCTGAATGTCTAGATCAAACAAATAAGCTATGTACATGTACCAGCCACTCCTTCGTCAGATGTGTGTGAGAACTACAGATGGAGGATGAATCTTGAAATATATTTGGAGTCTAGTGTTGATTTCATGCTCTTTATTTCAGCTCATGTCAAACAGGGAGTGAGTCTTCCCCAAAATCTCTGCCTATATATACATTATTTATACAATGGGTCCCGTGTGATTGGCTGATTCAACTCCCCTCCTGGAGCCTGATTGGGCTGCCTTTGCAGGCCAATCAGGTTGCTGATTCACTTCCTCCTGGAGCCGGATTGGGCGAATCCTGCAGACCAATCAGGATACTGCCTTCTAGGATCCTACTTGCCTATTGTTCTAGGATCCAAGCTCAGTACATAACAAATCTGTTCAGTTCTCATGCTAATGTGAACCTAACCAATTTGTACTTCATGAAACAAAACACACCTCTCCTCTGGAATTGGCCCCTTTCCAATTTTTGTGACACAGTTCCCCAACTAAACAGTGCATACAAAAGTGTATGCACTAATGAAATGTGCATACAAACATATGCATAGTAGACAAAATTGTTTTTAAAAATTGGGTATGGTAGGAGAAATGTGCATGAGAATGCATACAAATATTCCTGCAAACCCTTTTTTAAACAAACAAACAAACAAACATTTATTAGGAGACCAGAAGCCTTCTTACTGGGCATTATGATGATAAACATCCCAAAAGAAAGCAAAAGAGTATTTCTATTCAACAATGGCTGCTAGAGTGTTAATTGCCAAATATTGGAAAGGGGATTTGATACCAACTAAAGAAGAGTGGCAAATGAAATTGTGTGAATATGTAGATCTAGCCAAAATGACAGAAACAATAAAAAAATCACTCAAACGTAAGGTTTAGAAAAAGAATGGGATTGTTTTAAAAATCAGCTGTGTAAACATGGTTCCCAAATTAAAACTTGGATGTGCCTAGATTAAATTTCACAAAATAAATAGACAGCTGGATAAGATATTTTACATACAGAGAAGGTTGAAAGAATACTAGAACACAGTACAAAGGAAAATGAAATAAAGAGAGATGACGAAGCTGTAAAGAGATAGGGGGAAGTAAAATATTGTATTATGGAAATGAACAAGTTTCGAAGAGTAAACAGATTATGTACATGAATGAAGAAGAAAAGATGATATATATTTGTAAATTTTAAAATGCAACAGCAGCAGCAGCAGCAACAACAACTGCAAAAATGGGCAAACCGAGCTTAACATTGGAAAAATGGGAAATTGTCAGAAAACAAATTTAGCAGATTTGTCTATCCCTAGTGAGGATGGGTTACAGCCGAAAGCCCTGGTGCTAACAATCCGTACAAAAATGGGCTCTTTGTCTGTGTGTGATTACATTCATAACCTTCCCTTTCTGTGCTGATATTATGTCATAAAAAAAATAAAATATTAACTTTGTCGTTACTTTTACTGCCACCAGGTGAAACATATGATTGTTAATGCCACAGCTTTCTTATTTTTAGGTTTATGGGGAAGTGCCCTTGGAAGCGAACAAGAACTCTATAGGACTATAATAGGTATTGCTCTTTTATCTTCTTTTTTAAATATGGGGTGTGCATTGTCTCTGTGTGTACTCTGAATTATGAAGTGGATTGGGGTTTGGTTTTTTTGGAAGGTTTCCTGCATGAAAACCTGTGGGTACATCTGCATACAATTTTACAAGTTTAATTCACTCTGGAGGTGGGCTGGTGCCTGCATATTTTGTTCACTTTGGCCAAAGAAGAAGAAGAAGGGAATCTGGGGACACTAGCCCTTTGCAGTGATTCAAAGCTTCACTTAGTATTAGAAGTGGCGAATGCAGTATCTTTAAACCTGTATCTTGTCTCTAGGACCTAGGCTCTAGGTGAACAAAGGCTGACTAGTGATTGTGGTTTTGTTGAAATGAGGCACCATATTCTGTCAAAATGAAAATCGAAAATTCGAAGTCTGAACAATGTATTGGTTGTCCCCTCCCTTTTTTGCAACCTGAATGTTGCCAGCTATTTTGCTACTTGTTGCATTTGGGAAAGATGGTTTTTCATACTGTTCAGAGGCAGTTTGGCTCTGTATACCAGTTGTTGAGAACCATGAGCGGGGAGTTTGCTCTTGCAAGCAGATATCCCAACCCAACATTTAGACATTAGGTTGGTTGGCCAATCTGAGAAGGCTGGATCAGGAGACCCTTTGACTCTTCTCATTGTGTGTGAACATGCACATTTCTTTTTCAAGATTCTTTGCTGAATTATCTAAAACAAAAGAGATCAGGAGACTCTTCCTCAGCTTCAACAAACTTAGGTAAGATGTTGCAACCAACATTAATATCCTGGTCTCCCTTGTACTTGGATTTGATTTCAATTTCAGTTGTGTGTGTTAATGTCTATAACTCATAGTGTTGCAATTTTCCTGGTTTTTGTTTGTGCTTTTCTCATGTGTGTGCTTGCGTAAGACTGTGTTGCTATCCACCCATATGCAGAGAGTGTTACAGGGTGCACAAATACTAAGGTAAAGGTAAGGACGCGGGTGGCACTGTGGTCTAAACCACTGAGCCTCTTGGGTTTGCCGATCGGAAGGTCGGCGGTTCTAATTCTCATGATGGGGTGAGCTCCCATTTTTCTGTCCTAGCTCCAGCTCCCAGTTCAAAAGCATGCCAGTGCAGGTAGATAAATAGGTACTGCAGGAAGGCAAGCAGCGTTTCCATGTGCTCTGAATTATGTCACGGTGTTCTGTTGCGCCAGAAGCAGTCTAGTCATGACCCGGAAAGCTGTCTCTGGACAAACGGTGGCTCCCTTGGCCTAAAAGCAAGATGGTGCTTCAACCCCATAGTCGCCTTTGACTGGCCTTAACTGTCCAGAGGCCCTTTACCTTTACAAGTACTACATTAGTGATGTCTAAAATTCCTGGTAGAGGACAAGGATCCTGAGATCATGTTAAGCGTAGCCAAATTCTGTGCGTTTGCCATAAAACTTAGGGAACAAGCTGTGCTATCACAATGATTAAGGCCTTAAATGATAATTTTAGGTTATATGTTAGTGACGAAGTTTTAATTTATATATTTTTTAACTGTTGCTATATCTGTAGTGTCCCTGTTATACCTAATTGCAAATTCAAATGTATCCCTCTCGTGTTTTATATCTTCCTTGATATTGTATGTGGGCTGGAACAATTCACTACATTAGTGTCTATTCCATCAAGGATGAAACAAAAGAATGGCAAAGCCATTTTTGGGGGAGGAAAAACAGGCAGAAGGGGCAAGATCAGTTTTGCCCACCTGAAATAAATTGTTGAAATACCCTACCAAAGTAATGGGAAACCTGTGGCTGTTTTGATGTTATTAGGCCTTCAATTCCCACCAGCCCCAGACAAGGGATGATGCGAGTTGTAGCACAATAATATCTGGAGGGTATCATGTTGATACTAGAATATGTGCCTAAGGGTTTCAACAGGCTGAGTTCAATATTTCTCAGGTTGAATTAAGTTATTGCCATCATCAGCCTCCAAACTTAGTGAAGTATCGCTGGGACAATTGTGAAGCATTTCCCATGCCCCTCCACCTAACCATGGGATCAGAAAAGGTCTAATGTTCAAGAAATATATTCCTCACTAAACATCAGGAAGAACTTTCTGTTTGATGTTCAAATGGACTCCCTCAGGAAGTGGTGGACTCTCCTTCATTGGAGGTATTAAGCAGAGATTGAATGGCCATCTGCCATGGATGCTTTAGCTGTGATTCCTGCATGGACTACCATATATAGGTTGAATGAGATGGCCCTTGGGGTCCCTTCCAACTCTACAATTCTATGATTCTATAGAAGTATTTTGTATTATATGAGTATTCTTCTGCTTTATGGTACAATCCTATACATGTCTGCTCATAAGTAAATCACACTAATTTTGATGGGCTCTACATACATACAAGGGATGCGGGTGGTGCTGTGGGTTAAACCACAGAGCCTAGGACTTGCTGATCAGAAGGTCGGTGGTTCGAATCCCCGTGACGGGGTGCGCTCCCGTTGCTCGGTTCCTGCTCCTGCCAACCTAGCAGTTCGAAAGCACGTCAAAGTGCAAGTAGATAAACAGGTACCGCTCTGGCAGGAAGGTAAACGGCATTTCCGTGTGCTTCTCTGGTTCACCAGAAGTGGCTTAGTCATGCTGGCCACATGACCCAGAAGCTGTACGCCGGCTCCCTCGGCCAATAAAGCGAGATGAGCGCCGCAGCCCCAGAGCCGGTCACGACTGGACCTAATGGTCAGGGGTCCCTTTACCTTTACATACATACATAATTTTATTTGTATGCCACTTTCCCAAAGTATAAACCATGCACAAGGTAGCTTACGACATGAAAAAGGTGTGTGAGTGGCAGCCTTCCCACAATGCACAACCACCCCATGTGCAAGCAATAGTATGTTTTCAGCTAACAGCACTGAATCAAACAGTACACAAATAGATTTTAGTCTAGAATGTCCCACTTCCTCCCAACGTCTAGCTATACTATTTGTTGTTTGTGGCCTTAGGCCTTACTCAAAGTCTATTTTGGGGTGCAATCAATGAGTGGGGTTCTTCTAGACCAGGCATCCCCAAACTTGGCCCTCCAGATGTTTTGGGACTATAACTCCCATCATCTCTAGCTAACAGGACCAGTGGTCAGGGATGATGGGAACTCTAGTCCAAAAACATCTGGAGGGCCGAGTTTGGGGATGCCTGTTGTAGACACAAAAGTTGAGAGGAGGTGGAGGAAGAGTAACTTTACCAGAAGGTGGCAGCAGAGAGGTTTCAGTGGCTCTGCAGCTTTAAGCTAATGGGCATCGCTAAACCAGATCTAAATCAGATGCCAAAATAATTTAGTCAGTCTTAGAGACTATGCACCTAGACTTGGAGGTAGAGTAGAGTTGCATATGCTGTTCTGCCTCGAGCAGCAATATGTCTTGAGCCAGGCCTGAGTATCTGTAATTCTCTTTTGTATGCTCTTTTATTGCCAAGATCAAGATGACCAGAAACTTAAGACACTCTATGAGGGTTATCAGTCCATTCTAGAGCTTCACCTCTGTGAAACATCAGATGGAAGAACAGCAGATAAGCATTTTGACCACCTCCGCAACATTTTGAAAAGTAAGTGAGCGTCAGACAAAATCCCAAATATTGCTGCAAATTAAGATGAGTTTGTTTAATATATTATATTTGTTATGCCTAATAAAGCTTTGGTGAAGTAAAAGTCTTTCATGTACCCTTAGCTATTGCTCATTTTTCTTTTCCTGCTTTAACACTCTGTGTCATTTTGTCTGCAAAAATAGACCATAGTTCCAGCAGAAGCTATGAATTGCTTAGAGAGATCTGCAAGACCTGGTTTTCTGCTAATGCGGAAACAAGAAAGAAAGACTGTATGAGACTGTGTCAAGCACTGGACCTGGATTTTGGAGGCAAGTGTAATAGCAACCATACATTGCCTTTGAGCAGCTGTTCTTCCCCAAAGTCTCCTCAAAGATATGAGTTTGGTAATACAATGTAATCTGGAGGAGTGCCTCTCTTTATTCTTAATCCTTTTATGCCCAAGTGTTAGCATCTCTTCCTTCCCCATTTTTTCTTCTTTTAAAACTTATCCGCAATAACAGTGCATGTCATGGGGTTCAAAAAAATCTGCTACTCTTTGGACCTTGGAAATCCATTTTACCACTAAAGAGTTGTAATGAGTGAAAAGATTTGAAATGGAGAGAATTGAACATGGTGCCCTCCATAAGTTTTTAGATTCCAGTTGTTGTTAGCCTGAGCCAGGATGGCTAATGGTCAGGGCATGATGGGAGTTGTGGTCCATAACATCTGGAGGGCACCAGGTTGACTATCCCTGCTATAGAACCAAATGATCTGAGGAGCTCTAATCTCAGACAGACTCTTGGAATTACAACTTGACTGGTTTAAGATAGATTCATTCCATGTTCAGAAGAAGAAGAAGAGTTTGGATTTGATATCCCGCTTTATCACTACCCTAAGGAGTCTCAAAACGGCTCACAATCTCCTTTCTCTTCCTCCCCCACAACAAACACTCTGTGAGGTGAGTGAGGCTGAGAGACGTCAGAGAAGTGTGACTGGCCCAAGGTCACCCAGCAGCTGCATGTGGAGGAGCGGGGAATCGAACCCGGTTCACCAGATTAGTCAACCAGTCAGTCATTTTATTTGGATATTGCCTTTCCAAATTAAAATTATTTCCCCCCCATTCTTGACTCTGAATATTATTCCCTTTTAGGTTTTGCCAGTGATTCCCTCCGTGTTTTACATGATGTGGTGAGAAAGACGTATTTATGCCTTTTGAACTGGACATGGGGAAGCACCAATAACTTCCTGTACCACTGCTGTAAGCATATGTTGCATTGATATTATTATTTTTATAAATGGATACCACTGTTCTGAATGTTATGCTCTTGGGCTGCAGCAAAATCTCTCTCTCCCCCCACCCAAATATGGCTACCCAGGAAGAGACAGCTTGTGGTAACATATAGCTGCTTCCCTTCCTTCCTTCCTTCCTTTCTATTATAGGATCAGTAACTAGGTACTTAACTATAATTATCTGAACCAGCGAAGGCCTTGGCACTTACATGTAGCACAGTCCACCAGCCACTTATTCACACCTGCCACTTTTTGCCTGAATTCCCAGAGTTGTGAGCCCATAGCTCCATGAATGTCATGGAATAACCTGGTTATGATGCAGAGTGTGATGTCTGTATCATAGATAAACACAGCTCATTGCACACATTGCTCATGGCCTTCAAGGAAACCACAGGCAAAGGGTTATGGTTTGAGAAGTTGCCCACTCATTGCATCTGTGTTGGAGGTACCTTTACTATAGATGAGTGGACTTGATTTGGGATGCCGATGGCAGGTTAGTAGGACTTGTGCACTTGGCTCAGCTCTCAAATCCTTTACATGGGCTCAATCCACTTACACCTTTCATCAGCCTGTAGACATTTCTGATGCAGAAATATGACAAACTGAAGACTGGGGTGGGGTCGGGGACTGAAATTGACAGATTTGCCCGTATATAAGCAGTAGTAGTATTGGTATGGCTTTTTAATAACTAACTTAATAACTATGTAGGCAGCAGGTTGATATTGATTCCAAAAGCTTTGTATCGATGCTCTGTTTCACTTCATATGTCTAGCGGATGTTGAATGTCCTGACTTGACAAGCAAACAGGTTGTCTCTCTGATTGATGCTGGCCTGGCGATAAACGCTGCTTACCCATCCCTTCTTCAGTCTGAGAGGAAAGTGAAGTTGATCCTCTCCTTTGACTTCAGTGCCGGAGATCCTTTTCTGGTAAATTCATTTAATTTACAGGGGCAATCAAACATGGCTAAAATTCTGGTCAAAGGATAATTCTGTTAGGATTCATTAAACAATATTACATAAGCTTTGGTATCCATCTTTTAGGTTTAAATAAAAAAATTTTAGATAGGAGAGTGGGATGTTGGTAGTCATTTTCAAATATCTGAAGGGCTGTTACACAGAAGATGGAGGAAGCTTGTATGCTACTGCTCCAGAGGTAGGACTTGAACCATTGGATTCAAATTACACGAAAAAGATTCCAACAAAACATTAGGAATAACTTTATCATGGAAAGAGCCATTCCACAGTAGAATGGACTGCCTCAGAAGATGGACTCCCCTTCATTGGAAGTTTTTTAAAAGAGGTTGGATGGCTGTCTGTCAGGGGTTCTTTGGCTGCTGTGCCTGTATTGCAGGAGCTTAGACCTCATAACCATTGGGGATCTCTTCCATCTCTTCAATTCTTTGATTCTAATATGTTGTTATCTAAAACTCCCTTCTGAAGATTCCTTACCAGTATCTACCACGGCATTACTCCTTTTCATGCCACTCTGTGATATCAGAAGTGCCCTCCCATCAGATGTCAAGGAGATATAGAACTGCACAATTTTAGAAGACATCTGAAGGCAGCCCTGTACTGGGATGTTTTTAATGTTTGACATTTCATTACATTTTTATATGTGATGGAAGCCGCCCAGAGTGGCTGTGGAAACCCAGCCAGATGGGTGGGGTAAAAGTGCCCTGGGACTTCCTAAAGCAGCTTAGGAGAGAGCCTAACTGTATCTCTTCCCATGTCATGATGGTAATGTCTGAAGGGTCCCTAACAGCTGCCCAGGAAGTAGCCATGAGTATTCTTTTCATCCAGCTGCTATTTACCCAAGTGGATATGGCAATTAACTATAGACTTTCTCCTTTGGTTCAGACCATTAAGAAAGCCATTAAATACTGTGAGGAACATGGAATCCCATTTCCCAAGATCGATGAGAGAGAGCTGCAGGACACGGATGATTTGAAGGATTGCTATATCTTCAGAGGAGATGCAGAATGTGTCCCAACTGTCGTGCACTGTCCACTGTTCAACAAAGTCAACTGTTCAGGTAATGTGTCGATGAGATCCATTTGGTAAGTGTGCAGTTGATCAGATAGTGGAGTTAAAAAATTATCAAGACAAAATAATTGGATACATCATTTTATTTCTAGTGCTGAATTCCTTCCTTATGCTTAAACTGAACCAATCTCCCTGTAGTTCTTACTTCCTTTTGCTAGCAAGGTTTTTACAGTTCCAGCATTTGAATTTCCCATACCATCTTCCTTTCTCCAGATTCATACAACTCTTTGACCCACCAAGCAGATTTAATTTTATTTGGCTCAGCAAAACTCCAATTTTCATTAGTGATGATGGGGACCAAATTCAGAATTAGAATACGATCACTGGAAACAGAAGAAGTCTTTTATCCTCTCTTTCAGTAGGACAGATGAGTCATGCTCAGTGTTATACTTTTTCCCTACAGTTAATGGAATATGTTTTCAATTCCTAATAATTCATTAATACACAGCAACTCTCATTTTCAGATAAAATTCATGAATACAGAGAACAGTTTTCTACATTCAAGATGAGCTATTCAAAGGAGGAGATTGAAAAGTTGCTCACTGCAGCAAAGCAAAATGTAGCAAATGTTCACGAAAAGATCTTGGAGGAGATCAAGAATGTTGTAGGTCCTCCTTCATGAAGGGCTTAAGTAAAGTTTTTTCCTCTTCAACATTTGCTTGACAACAAAGTTCACATAACAAGGATTTTTCCTCTGCTAGAGTTCTAACTTTTGTTAGCATCATGGTTATTATCGGCTCAATTTGTATCCACTATTCTAAAAGTATCAGATCAGTATATATTTCACTGATCAATAAAAACATAGCATATATCAATGGCCTCATTTGGACACAATGCTGAAGTTTGACTTGAAATTAAATTAACAAACATTGGGATTTATTGCAGTTAGGAGGGGACCCAATATTGAACTAACTTCAGTTTATTATTTCTGAAACTACAAACTATGGTTAGTACCTATACAGTGGTACCTCTGGTTATGAACGTAATCCATTCCTGAGGTCCATTTGTAACCAGAAACCACTCGTAACATGAGATGCGCTTCCGCTAATGGTGCCTCCCGCTGCTGCCGCGCCGCTGAAGTGCGATTTCCGCTCACATCCCAGGGCAAAATTCACAACAAGGGGCATCTACTTCCAAGTTAGTGGAGTGCGTAACCCAAAGAATTTGTAAGGGGGATGGTTCGCAATATGAGGTACCACTGTAGTTCAGGGGAAGAAGAAAATCTCAAATTGCCATTTATGATCCATCTGTGGTCAGGAAATGGAAATCAATCAAATAAAATTGGCACCCATTGTTGTCTTTAAGTTCTCAAATGATGTGTAATGAAATACCTTTTAAAAATTGTTTTGATGTATCCTTTCATTTAATGTGATATAAGTTACATGAGTTACATAGTTACATGAAATAGTGATTGTGAGATGAGCAAATGAGTATTTGGTGGTAACTGAACCGCAGCGAGATGGAAACACAGACTGTGTTGAATACAGGTCGGAACAAAAATTATTGCCTTCTTACATCTCTAGTTGGCAATGAAGGACTGGCAGTAGTAGACAGATACATTTGGACCAAAGGCTATACCTGAGTCTCCCTCAGATATATAACATCACATGTGCTCTATTCACACATTACTCATGTGTAGGGCTTTGCTGTGTTGAAGGAGTAGCAGGACTATGCTTTTAGCCTTGCCTTTACATCAGTACTGCAAGAACCATGTGCAGTGTGTGGTTGAGCTTTCTCTGTGATGTGTGAATACCTGCTCATGACTCCCACATGACTGGGAGACCTGCACAACTAGTTGCCCTGATTGGTGGGAATATTCATGTGCAGATCCTTGCAAATGGAAGTTTAAGCTGTTGATAACCACAAATAGCGAGCTTTTACTGCAGAAAGGGGTAGTCATGTCATGGAGGGGGCTAAAAGTGTGGCCTTGCTCCCCCAACAATGTGGCAAAACTCTACACAGGAGTAGCATGTGAATAAGGACTTTGCTATTCATGTATACCACGACATATCCTCACCCCCCCCCAATGAACTCAGGCTATCCCTTGCCATTCAAAAGTTAAGGACAAAATTTGCAAGCAGATATGCTCCTCATAACTCAAACATGCACCCATCCAGCATGTGACCGTTAGACAAAGACTCCTTGTGGTTACAGATTTTTTTTTCTTGTCACACTCTTAATTAAGCACCAGTACTATAGCAAAAAGCAAGCATTTTTAAACAAATTTGCCAAACGTTTAATGGGGAGAGAAAGAGCAAAAAATGTGAAGAATCTTAGTTACGGTGTGGAACATATCAACATCAATTCATCCACAAACAAATGACATGCTGTTTAAGCAAAGAAGTAAATAAAGTTCTTTGATGCACAAGTTTAACACTATCAAACACAGAACACATTTGCCTCACCCTGCATGAATGCAAAGAATCTTTCCTCAGAGCAATGCATTGTGCAGCAAGAAACTGCAGACATGTTGCAATCCTCTTGTCAGCGTTCCCAAACAACTCCCTCTGTTTCCCCATTTGCACACAAGCCTACTCCCATCAGAGCAGGGCATACCTCTTAACCTCTGCAGCCCAAGCGTGTGGATGAAATTTTGGAACAGCAATTATTTGTTTATTATTTCATGAAATTCATATACCACTTGATTGAAAAAGAAAATACCTTAAAGCTGTTTACAAAATAAAACATAAAACCATATTTAAAGCAATTTACTTCCATGATAATGTGTGGTGATTGCATCTGTATATATTTGGTATGTAACTTCAAGTCAGAATTTAAAGAGCTGCATTGGTATGCTCAGAATTCAGAAGGCTGTTTTAAAAAAGAAGTCCTGCCCAAGAATTGATCGGGGATGTGTGGCCTGGGCAAGTTCAATTATAAACTTATAGGAGTCAGATTTCTCAAAGCAATACTAACCTAATTCCTATTGATTTCAATGGGACTAGATTGTGGGCAGCCAAACTGAAGTTGCTGGACTCCCATCATCCCTGACCATTTCTGGCTGGGGTTGATGGGAATTGGAGTCCAGAAACATCTGGAAGTCCAGGCTCCTCATACCTACACAATAAACAGATATTCTGGCTCTAATGTATTCAAGTCTAATGTATTCTCCTGATCCATCCCATTATTTCTGGTCAACCATACTTAAGACCTTGCAGAAAATCACTCTTTTATGGCACACAGATTTGGCTGATGTTCTCTTTGTTTCCTTTTAAACACTGAATAGTAGTTTATATTATTTTATCGGGTATTTAAATTGTGGATTTTAATATCTGATTGTTGTTTTTTATGATGTTTTTACCAACTACTACTTCTAAATTCCATTGTTCTTTTCATTATCTTCTTTTATTATGATAAATTGTATTACACACAGAGAGAAACACAAGCACACACATATTTAGTGTGTTTCTAGTGTAGGTTACCTTAGGAAAGCTTTTGAAGAGTAGCATCTAAGAGTCTGAATTAAATATGCATATCATGGCTTCATGTAATGTGTTTTGCTAAGCACCTATCTCAGAGGTGTTTCTGCATAGACCAGGGGTGGCCAATAAGGTGCCCTCCATCGTCCCTGATCATTGGCCATTCTGGCTGAGGGCTAAATTGTATTCAAAAACATCTGGAGAGCACTAGGTTGGCTACCCCTGGTTTGAACAAATCATCTCCTAAAAGTGGTGTGTGTGTCGCAGAGAGTAGCCCTGCCAGGAACCACAGGGGCAAAACCCTTCTAAATACATTTTTGCATGGTCCTGTGACAAATTATGCATCAACAGAACAGTTAAATCTTTGTAAACACAGAGCTGTTTGTCTCTCTGACATCTACTTTTGCTGAATCGTTCATTCAGATCCACTTTTTGTTAACCCTTAGGCTTTCAGTTATGCCATTTATTTTAAGCCACACCAGCCTTGGTATCTATTTAGTATGGCAACTTAACATTAATCTGCATTGACAGACACACAATCCACATACAAAAGCTGTCTGGGTTGGCAGTTGAAGCTTATCTCAACAGCAATGGAATAGCATGCTTCACTGGGTGGGTATCAGGAACAGGTCAGCAATAACGGTATTAGTGAAGTTAACTCCCTTTATTCAAAGAAAGAAAACAGCTCAGGAGACTAGGCCTAGTGAGCAGAGCAATTCTTCCCAGCAGATCTTTCCTGAATTAGGCAGTTGTGAGGAGTGAAAGTCCCCTGGTTCCTTCCAAATCAGTCTGAGGTTCCTTCAATTTGCTTATCATTGCTCTGCCCTCTTCATACCTCTTCATGTTCTAGAAGACCAGGGAGGAGGGTAGCAGCCCATCACAGGATGGGGAGACAGCCTGGCTTCCTCACTAGCCTAATTCACTGCTGCCTCTTGTCCCCCCCCTCCTCTCAATCCTCCTCTTCTGCCTTTGGTTCTTGACTGCTCTCTGCCACAGACTCTTCCTGCCCACTAAATCCTGTTACCTCTTCAGCTGCCAACACCTCCTTTTCCCAGTGTGCTTAATCTTCTCCATCTGACCACATCATCGTCCCACCACCAATCTGAACCTTCTTCATCTGGGGTGAAGAATCCCTTGTGGGGTTCTCCAACTAGTGCCTCCCACCACTCCTCTGCATCTAGCCAGCCCATTACAATGGTCAGGTCTGTCTTAAGTATATCAGGCACCGTGGTGCAAAGATCCCTCTGCCCCCCCCCCCATTTCCCAGAGTTGCCAAAAAGTCGGGGAAAACGGTTGGGGGGTATGCGAAAGATCCCTGTGTGGGAGAAAATCTTGGAGAGGGGGAGGTGGTTTAACGCAATAGCCCAATAGCCAAACTCCTAAGGAGGCAACAGGTGGGTTTCCCTTCTCCCGCTCCCTTGCCGACACACTAACTGCACTCCTTGCACCCCTCAGCTGATCTCCGATAGTTTTAAAGCTGCAGACGAGCGACACGACTGTAGAATAGACCAAGGCTTCCACAAGGTTCCACTCAGCTGAACCAACCACAAAATACCTAAGACAAAAACACAAGACAGAAGTGAGAAGCGCCAGCCGCGCTGCGAAATTCCTCAGCTGATCGGCGGCAAAGAGGGAGCTCCTTTGCCACGCTTGTCTTAAATGTGGCAAGCCACACACCCCGAACCAGCCGATTGGCTGGCCAGGGGGATGACGTGGCAGAGGATTCCCCAGATCGCGTGAGGCTGGGAGCCAGCCTCTGTGAGAGTGTTGGGAGCAGAAAGCCAGCAACACCACCTGCTCCCGAGGTTGGAAGTGGCTTTGGCAACCTTTTTACAGTGCTGCTGGCAGCTTTGCAAAACTGAAGGAGGTGGGCACCTGTTGGAGGGCAGCTTCTCTGGTGGGGAAGAGGCGGAGGCTCCAGGCACAGCACTGCGTCAGCGAGGCAGGCGAGGGCAGCAAGCTGATGCCGGGAGGCACTGCTGCGCCCAGCCTCCACCTCTTCCCTGGTGCCCGTGCCGCAGTGGCCATGGCAGGTAGAGGCTCTGGGCATGGCGCTGCTTTGGCACGGCATGGCAGAGGCGGGTGAAGGCAGTGAGATGATGCTGGGAGGTGCTGTATCCAGCCTCTGCCTCTTCCCTGGCGCACTTCAGAACTTGGCGCCCTGGCGCAATGCGCCACTTGCCTCTATGGGCAAGATGCCCCTGACAATGGTCTACCACAACTGAGGGCAGCAGGCTAGTTTTGGGTGCACAAAGCAGGACATAAGACACACACAGGTCTATCCATCATCAGCTTACCTCCCCACTGCCCCCTGCACCTCAACATCTGCCACCTAAGGTGGCAGGAAGCCTCCTGCTGTATAATCAATGGAAGGGCCAGTTCTACTTTACTCCTGCCTCTGCTCCCTGTCATTTATCTGGTTAATATCCACCCTATTACCCAATGACCATTAAGCTTACATTTGGAAACCTCCAATTCTTGTGAGGCTGAATAAGCCCATTGTACAAAGCTAAGGGGCACATTCATTACCTCAAGCCTACTGATACGTGAACCTCAGAAGGTTGTTCATGAGATAATGTGGACCTTGAGCTAAAAAGGTTCCTCAATTCTATTCTACCAAGTTAATAAGCAATGTAGCAACCCAAGACATATACCTTTCTTTTGTATTTTTTTCTGAGGGAAAGTTTGTATTTATCCACCAGGAAGGGTTGAATTGATTGTGGGGTGGGTATTTTTTGGCATAGCTGAAAAAACTCTGGTTGCTGTAAAACCTCTCCCATAGCAAAAATATATGCTCATAACATTACAGCAGCATATATGCTTGACACCAGTGCACAACAGGAATGGTGATCAATTGCCTTGGTAGAGTTTACCCCATGATTGCCCTTGTGACAGGGACTTAACTTTTTCTTGCCAACTTCTGTGTCCCCGCCCTCTATTAAATTTCCTTGGTTTTAAGCCCTCCAGGAGACACAACTGACAGAATCCTCTGTGGGTGGTTGAAGTTTTCTGTGGCTGGGTAAGTTACATTTCAACTTGCTCTCTCTCGTCTCCACTCTTCACAGTTAGCAGTCCTTTCTAGTTCTGACCCAACCTTCCATACCTCTGTAAAGTAGTACCCCCCCCCCTTTTTAAGAAGAGGATTCAGAATATCAGTGTTTCTACAGCTCCACCTCCCAATGTTTTATGTTGGAATTTGTATTGGTGAAATAAGGAATCCTGCACATCCTCTGAAAGAAGTTAATATTTAGCAAAGTCTGGGGATATTCTCCTGGTGATAGAGAGGTTCTGGGGTGAGGCTGCCACAAATTAAACTCTCTGCTCCAAACTCCCCCATCATATAAGCCTGTACCTTGAACCCTAGACTGTTCTTCAGACAGCCTGCCAAGCCAAATTGGGATCTCTGCACCAGCTGAAGTTTTTGAACAGTGCATTAAGCCATGTAGTTGTGAGATTTGAAAGCCAAGAAATGCTTAAGGGATCTTACCATAACTGCTCTCTTCCTTTTCTAGAGTCTCAGGGTAATTCCATACAGCAGTTTATTGTGGACTCAATGCTGCTTTTGCATGGAAAGCTTGTAAAGTGTCTACATTATACTATTGCCAAAATGCTACCCCATATTATTTCCGCATTTAATTTACATTTATTGTTTCAATGAAAAATCCAGTAACTGAATGAATAAAAACTCACAGCAACAGTAAATCTGGATTAAATGGAGAGGGGGAAATGGCATTGTATTTTGATGAGGATGATTGTGTGTGGATGCTGGGAGAAATTAACTAATAAATAATTTGAATCCACAATAAGATGCCATGGGGAAGTGCCCTCAGTCTCCCTTGAAGGGAACAACTTTGAAGGTGGGATTCAGATGATATTTGTGGGGGGAGGGAGTGTTCTTTACTGGGTTTTTGTGAAGTGATGAGGGGTCTTCTTTCGTCACTTCTATTTACCGTACATAAACATTAAAAGCAAGGACAAGCCAGTTTTATGTGAAATTTGACAGCTCTGTTGCTATAGGCTTTGAAAAGGTGCTATTTGTCTCACTATCTGCTCTGGAGAAGGAAAGATAAATGTGAACATTGCCACCTCATAAAAAGCCAGTAAATTTCCACACCCAAAAGTGCCAACCCACCTGAACATTGCCCTCCCTCCTGATCTTCAGAAGGGTTTTCACCCACACCCACTCCTAAAATCTCTTAAATTGGGCTAGACTGAACATTCAGCCCAGCCCAACTTATAACCCAACAGCAGGTTCCTTCCTGCCCATTTGGCATCAGTGCTATTTAGTAACAGGAGATGAGTGACTGAATGGTTTCCTCTTATTTCATCAAGTAGCTGTTTGTTGCTCTAAAGTAACTGGAGAAAAGCATAAGCAACAGGAAACAAGAGGTGCTTTTGTTCTCACTGTATTCAGGACCCTCTGCTATTGCTTCCTTATTTTGAGCATCAGTTAAGAAGAGGAGATGAACATCTTTCCACCTAGGACGGTAAGCAATATCTACCTTACAATCAGCAGTGCCTGATGGTTTCTGCTCCAAGCGAAAATAAGTTCTACTCAGTAACAGTCCTCTAATTCTAATGCATGCTAAGCTACAAGCAATAATGGGTTCTTCTGTACTTTTCTTTGCTATGCCTCAAACATGGCAAGGGGAAGTTAGGACCAAAGCATCTCAGATTATCTAAGAAAGGGTGGGTCCATTTAGATATAATGCAGAATGATGTATTGAGAAGCTTGAAGGCTGAAGAGAGGGAAGCCAGATTCTCTCTCCCTCTTTTAATAATGCAAGAAAAAACAAAACTCTGCTATCTGGTCCAATGGATTAATATTTCAATTCCAGGGAGGTTATCTTGTCACTTGGGGGAAGGGACATAGTTCAGTGGTTGACCATCTGTATTGTATGCAGTAGCTCCCAGCTTCAATCTCTAGGGTCTCCAGGTAGGGCTGTGAAACTTTTCTGTCTGCAACTGGCCACCAGTGGAGACAATGCTGAAACTAGATAGTCCAATGGTCCAATTAAGTATAAAGTTCTGAATTGGACCATTGGAAGGAAGGAGGAAGTGCAGGGAATGTACAAGACGGCAGCTCACTAACACAAGGCCAACTGATGTATCTGAACTAGCCCAGTTTGGTTTGACTTAATCCACTGATGAGACCGTTATACTGGCCTGAGAAACTAGAGCCACTGAAACAATTTCCCCAAGTGATGGTTTGGTTTTCATAGTCAAAAGATGGCGTCATTGCATTTTCCTAGCATGAGAAACCTCCCCCCCCCCCATTTCATTTCTCAGCAGGAAAAATCTGAAGTCCGGATCATTCAAACCCTCACACAGGGTGAACAAGCAGCTGTTGCTTCTAGAAAAGAAACGGTGAAGAAATGCCTTGCCAAGCTTGGGATTCCACATGATGTGGTAGGGTTTCATTTATTATTAGTAATAACAATTAATTATAATGATAAAACAGAAGCTTAATCAGGCTGTGTAAAACAAGTATGCTTTGGGTATTGAAAACACACACTTTATTTTTTCATTCCTTGATTAAACAGAGATTTGTTAAGTCCCCTCCCTTTTCTTCCACCAGGACAAAACCCCAAATATTGCTGTCCTGGGGTCAGGAGGAGGACTGAGGGCCATGATTGCCCTTTATGGGACATTGACAGAGCTGAAGAAATATGATCTCCTGGAGTGTATTATGTACTTGGTTGGGGTATCAGGTTCAACCTGGTAAGTGAATGTAAATGGTTAATGAGAAAAGCAAGCTGTGGCATGTGGTAGAAGCTGCAATCTCTGGCAGCAACACCTTATCACAACTGATAAAAATCTCTGTGCCATCAGCATTTACAAGATCAAACTCAGCCCATGGCAGCAAGGCAAAAGCAACATGCCTAACAAAGCTACATTTTTCACCGGGCTCAGTTGGTAATGACAAGAGGTTGTAATTCACATGTTAAATTACAGAAAATACAGCTACCCCACAACACAGTCTCATTTTAGGCTCTATTCATGGGCAAAGGATCTTGGAAATGCAAAATATATAGTCTTCACAAATCATTTGTGCAAGACAAAGGGCACACACACTTCTCCACAAGAAAGAGTGGGTGGTGTTGGCATAGTGAAAAAAATAGTTTTCACTATCCTGGCATATAGAGAGTCATTTTACAGAAACATCCTGCAACACAGAGAAATAATAAGGATGTCACATTGGTAAGCAATTATTACACCAAAGAATACCTTTTCTCATGTTCTGGTGCATACAGTGGTACCTTGGTTTGTGAACAGCCTAGTTTACGACCATTTTGGATTACAACCAATTCAAACCTGGAAGTGCGCGTCCTAGTTTGTGAACTTTTTTGGATTATGAGCTGGGTTTTTTTGGGATTACGAACAACTTTTTTGGCCCCATTGGCAAAAGTGCGCCTTGGGTTACGACCTGTTTTGGTTTATGAATGGACCTCCAGAACGGATTATGGTTGTAAACCAAGGTACCACTGTATGTCTTGTCAGTGAATGGAGAGGAGTGTGATCACATGCATTGACTCTGATGTCTGACTTCTGCACACTGAACAGAATGGGCTTTATGTGAGTAGAGCTCGATACATGGAGGCTGGAGCTAGGGCCAGTTGCCATGATATATGGTTTTATTGACTGTGTGGGACCAAAGGAACTTAGGGACTCTTCAACTGTTACTATATTGTACACTTACTCTTTATCACATATGAATGAACACTGTAGACTTGGAATTTTTAATCCCAGCTGATTGCAATGTAACTTCTTTTATCACTCATGAAAGTTCATTCAAGTGTGTGTCTGGTTGCATGTAAACTCCAAGCTGAAACTAAAAAGGAAGAGAGTTGTTAAAGCTTCTGACCTGCAGAGAACATTCTTCATTTGCTAGTCCTTCGAGTATTTTCAAAATTAGCAGGTAGTCGTGTTGGTCTGACACAGTCAAAATATATGAAAAAATAAAAAAAATGCCCAGTAGCACCTTAGAGTAACGGACAGTTATATAGATAGATAAATAGATAGATAGATGATAGATAGATATAGATAGACGTGGGTGGCGCTGTGGGTTAAAACACAGAGCCTAGGACTTGCCGATCAGAAGGTCTGTGGTTCGCATCCCCGCGATGGGGTGAGCTCTCATTGCTCAGTCCCAGCTCCTGCCAACCTAGCAGTTTGAAAGCACATCAAAGTGCAAGTAGATAAATAGGTACCGCTCCGGCGGGAAGGTAAACGGTGTTTCCGTGCGCTGCTCTGGTTCTCCAGAAGCGGCTTAGTCATGCTGGCCACATGACCCGGAAGCTGTATGCTGGCTCCCTCAGCCAATAAAGCGAGATGAGCACTGCAGCCCCAGAGTCGGTCACGACTGGACCTAATGGTCAGGGGTCCCTTTACCTTATATATCTTTCAAAATAGGATTGTGTCTGAAATCCATTGCTCCTTCACATTGTTTCAAACATATTGTTGCATGTCAATCCAATCTCTGAGAGGTACAAAATCCCAGGGATTCCAGAAGCTTATTATTCAGGGTTTGTGTTTCCTTTGGAATGAGGTGCAGTCAAAACTGTGGTGTCTTTAGGATATATGGTTTATTTACACACACATATATAACCATCCCTCACAATGGAGGGGTTTACAGCATTGACATCCCCAAAAGGGTCTTGCTTCTCCCATAGCTGCAGCGTTCTATTCCAACAGAAATCAGGCATGGGTCTATCTCTCCCAGCTGCCAAGCTTCTAGCACACATCACTCAAGTCTCAACTCTGCCTTTATCTTTCTATGTACCAGCAGGTTGAGGAAGGGGCCCCCACCCATTTGTTATCTGACCCAGAGCCACTTTTTTGTTATCTTAATGGCTCATACTTAGAGGGCCATTACCTCACCAGGAAGCTAGCCTGCCTAGTCCAGGAATTGAATCCATGCTGGATCCAGGAATTAGACGGGGCCCCCAGATATACAGCCTACATCCCCTCCACAAACTCATCATAATATTTATATTGTTCCATGAAAAGGTGCATGTCAGCTCTCTACAAAAATGAAGACTGGGCTGAAAAAGTAGAGGCCTTGGAAAAACTTCAGAAGGAAACACTTGTAAATGGCAAATGGGATTTGAAGAAGGCAACAGAAGCTGCATTGGAGGCCTCAAAAGATGAACATTACTCCTTGACTGATTTCTGGTCCTATTTTATTGTGTATAAAATGCTAAAGGAGGTAGGTGGAGATTTTTTAAAAAGGTTTTTTAAAACCACATGAGACCTAAACTGAACAAGAATATAAAGAAAGTTAGCAGTTACCAAAAGTGACCAGGACAGTATTTTTCCCCTCAAGGCCCTGCCATTATCTCTTATATATAATTTGAAACATATAAATCCATTCATATATTCAGAAGCACTAAAATTAGGTAGGTAATTTTGTTTTCATCTCTGGATTATTATGTGGTAAAGTGTTGTCTGGAGCTAGACAGGAAGGGTTTGAAGAAGAGATTTTGCCTGCAAGTTGGCCAACCATGATCTGATGCACCCCTGGGAAGAAAGAATGTGAGTCAAGTGTGGGTTGGTGTCAGGAACCACTGACCACGTCCCTATGTGGCAAGCAGTGTCATTATAGCTTCTTAATCTAGAACCATGTGGATTCACTCTCTACTCAGAGTGGCCAGTAACCTTATAAAAATTCTTCAGCATTTTAATGCAGATTTCTCCTAATAAACACACGTTTGTATGCAGTTTTGACTAATGCATACATTTTTGCAAGCAATGCATCCTAATACCATGCATTCTGCATGATATTTTCACTTATATATATTCATTTTACTGTACACTTCTACCTAATATATGCATTTTTGTGAACATTTGTTATCGAAGAGGTGCATTGCAAAATTCGGACAAGTGTGAATTTTTTGTGTGTGGTTTGGTTCTCAACTTGCACTCAGAAAGTGCAGATTTGATCAATTCGTCTTCAAATGCAAACTGAATCAAATTTCTCCCCCATCCCTGAATGTTACACACAAGTAAACCCTGACAGCTGGGGAACAGGTAGAGTAGTAAAGTCAATTAACTAAACCCATGTCTTTTCAGCTTGATGAACGCAACTTGACTGAACACAAGAGATCATGTGAGAATGGGAAAAATCCTTATCCCATCTATGCAGCTGTGGACAAGCACAGATACGAAGGACACCACGTAGGTAATAACATGACAATATCATTTTCTCTTATTATTTTCTCCCATCCATTGGCATCATTCACTAAGGCCTTTCTCCACATGCCTCCCCCTACGGTGTTAGCCAGCTGGCTACCAGTGAGTGCCAAAAGTCTGCCAGCTTACCCAGGACCACATCAGATTTGATTTTAAAATGAGCTGATCCATCTCCCTCCCTGTCAAAATAAAGAAGTAAATCAATCAATCAAGACTAGCAACAAAACCAATTCAAATTTTCCAGAGGGCAGCTCTTCAATATACCAGCATGGGCAAAGCAATCAAGATGACCTTGTCTGTGAGGTTACATTGAAGAGCTGTCCCTGGGGAAACTGAGAATGGTTACCAAAAGAGGGACGACTTTGCAGCCCCAAGGGTTACACTCTGATTGCTGTGTATTTCTGTGGGTAGAACTACCCACCCTGATACTGAAACATTAGCAAGTTCATCTGAGCAATTGGATATTAGCACGTCCCTGCTTGCCCAAAGAATTTCATGGTTATTGCTGACTTCCTTTCAACTTCACTTCAAAATCCCTCCAAGTGTTTCCCCTGCACAGGGCCTTCCAAATCGCTTTGCATTCTGCTTTAGATGGAATTTCTTGGCAGCTCTTTCTTTGCTGATTTGTTTCCCATTCATTTGTCTTCTGGGCATTCTGTTCTCATTAGCACTTTGGGATTTTCTTCTCATCTCTCTCTCTCTCTCTCTAACTTTCTTTTATCTTCTTTCCTCCCAGGCAGCTGGTTTGAATTTACCCCACACGATGCAGGGGCTCCTGGCGTAGGTGGGGGTCACAGTACAGCAGGATATGTCGAAACCAAACTCTTTGGGAGTCTGTTTAGAAATGGAGAACTGAGCAAGAAGAAAAAGGAGAAAGATATTACCTACCTTCAAGGTTTGCCAACCTAGTTTTGCTTATTTGAAGCCTGTCGTTCTCAGAATGCCAAGTAGAATAACCTCCTCTGAACCAGTGGTGGCTGGAACAGGTGAGGTGGAGGGCAGGGGCACCAGCTGTAAATGAAGCTAGACCCAATGACAGTCAGACTACCACCCAATTGGTGGCAAGACAGAAGGAGCTGGGGGCAGGTTGGGTATAGTTTGAGGTTGATGGACAGTGCTCCATTCATGCTAATGGACCAGCCTCCTCTGCTCTGAAGGTATTCAAAGATGCACAAGAAGCAACTTCACATCAAGTCCATTTGGCTTCATGCTGTTTCAGCTCAGTACTATCTCTTCTAGCAATCTGGGCCCCAGACATCACAGGCTTACAACTCCCATTATCCCCAAACATTGCCTATGCTTATTTTGGCTAGTGGCTAGTGAGAGTTCTTTCTGTGATGATCTGGATGGTCAGAGGTTTCCCATCCCTGGTTTATACTGATTGGCTACAGCTCGCCAACATTTCAGACAGGAGTCTTTCCACCCTCAGCTTTACCTGGAGACAGCAAGGATTGAAATTGGGATAGTCTGTATGCAAAACATGTGCCATGGCCCTTCCTCTCTTTTTGCAAGATCAAAGAATAGAGTGGGTGTGTGATCAGTTGAGAGGTTTAGCAGTGGAATTCTATCCATGCTTACTCAGAAGTGAGTTCATCTGGAACTTGCTAGGGACTGTGTTTAGAACTGCAGCCTTAACATGCATATTTACAACACTGTAGTGTTGAAACCATCTAGGTTTATGGGGTACATAAGAGGAGTTCATGCACCAACATGTCCTGGAGCAGACAAGATGGGAAAATGTATAACCAAGGAGACTATGATGTGTGCATTGCTATCTTTATAATTTTTCAAAGGATGGAGCCATTTCAAACATGGCTAGTTAAATGCTATATGAGCTTTAAACATCAGGTTTGGACATTTATACTTACACCAAAGACCAGTGCTTTTTTCTGGGGGGAAGCTGGGGTACGCATACGCCTAAACATTTTGCGAATCTAAGTTTGGCTCCATTGAGGGGCAGTATTTCAATATGAGTAGGAAAATTAGAGTACCCCTAAACATTTTTTTAGGGGAAAAAAGACTGCCAAAGACTGTTAAAAAGCCATCTCTTCCTGATTTTCAGGTTTATGGGGAAGTGCTCTTGCAAGCGAGCGAGAAATTAAGAAGGAAATCCTTGGTAAGTTGCTACATTTTTGCCTCTGTTGCTCAACGAAGCAAAATTCTTCATTGTGACTCAACACATTTCTGAGTTAAGAGCTCCTTGTTCAGGAGCTATAGACAGAAACAGACAACAATAGTGCTATGATTCTTTAAAACACATCTTAAGTTGCATGCATGCTGTGGAAAGTCTTCATGGTCCAAAAATCTTTAAAACACATGACAAAAAATAGCTTTCCTGAATGCTTATACCCTTTTTATATTGTAAGCCACCCCTATGATCCTTGGATGAAGGGTGGTATTGATTATTAATTAATTATAATAAAACCCATGTCAGACTCTTAAAAGATCCAATGATGATGAAACAGCATTTGCCAGGTACTAAACTCAGACCTTAGCCATGAAATCACAAAAATCTATTTGTTCTCCTTGAACAACACACATAATTTATCTTAAATGTAAACATAGGGTGGTATGCAACTAAATAGATCCACTAGCACAAGGATTTCTGCTTGCTCCCTCCCCTGCTCCCTCTCCAAATGCACTCTGGAAAGCTGGGGGACTGGCCAGAACAGATATATTGGGGCATAGGGAGTATGCAGGGATAGAAGAGTTGACAGAAATTCCTTTGCGCAGCCAAAAGTCCGTGTACTAGCAGATCTATTTCACTAGATGCCTCCTAAGCACCTACTTTTGAGGCTCGCTGGGTTTTGGGAGATGGAGGGTCTGGAATGCTTTCTAATGACAACGTGTCAGCTGGGTGTTGTTCCAGCTGTCCCATGATTTCCCAGCTTTCCCCCTCATCTGCCTCTGAGCTCAACCCCCTTTTGTAAATCTATACCATCTTCCTCCTCCCTGGAAGGGTCAGGATGGGGAGGCGGTCTCCACCATTCATCCTCCTCTGCCCAGTCCCTGACGTCTTGTAGTAAAGCTACTCTGGTCTCCTTTGGGAGGAAGTGCAGGGCAGAATTTTAATAATATATTAAATGAAACAATGATACATATGAGAAAGTAAGCCTTACATGTGTGTTAACATAGGGATTTGTCTTTCAAGGTGCTTTACTGGATTTGCTAAAAAAGGACAAAGAAGCTTATTTTAAAGCCCGTGAATTGAATCCAGGTAACTCACATTTCCTTCCATCAGTTTTCTTTCCTCATCTTTACGAGGAAAGTCATTGCCATAAACCAGGGGTGGACCATATTTTGAGGGCCAAAGAATGACATTCTCTTTGGGTAAAATGGGTGGTGGTGGTGACACACTTTCTCCCTCTGTTACCCCTTCACCACACAGAGGGAGAGCAACAAACCAGGAAACACAGAGAGACAACAATGGGCACCTTTTTGTTTCTCTCTAACCCATCTCCTTTCTTTTCCTCCCATTCTTTCACATCCCTGTACAGATACCTATTCACCCACACTCATTCCTACAATTACCTTCTACTGGGATTTCTGGTGTTCTATGGACTTGTGCCTTCAGACAATTTGGAAGCTTCCCACGGATTATGAACAACTTGCACTTCTCTCTTCCGTACACACCAGAAAGTCCCTGTTACCAAGCAGTATAAGCAGATCTTTGTGAAACTTTAGGCTAAGCACAGGTTAGAGTAGTAGCTTGCAACTGCCTCAACAGTTTGGGTTCAGGAAAGTATATCTGTCTTTGAGATCTCCTCAGGAGTGGTCCTCCCTTTTAAGCAGAGCGATTTTGGGTGTAATGAAAAAAAACACCAGAAAATTGTTAGTTATTTATGCTTGCTCCCAAGAAGGGGTGCTTGAGAGATTTTTGTTCCTCAGGTGCCAAATTGACTTTGTCAGCTTTGCATGTCATTTGTTGTTCTATCCAAGGGAGAAATATATATTGGGCTGGTCCTGGATCTTATTGACCTATGCAGATCTTAGGAAATGTTAAAGGCAAAGAATGAAAAGGAGGTCATCCATTCCCCACAAAGTTCTGTTGTGTTTATGAGGTGGAGGGATAGCAGTTGCTGGACATCTGAGTGAAATGACCACTGTAAAAAGCTCATTTGGAATAAATAGAGAGCAGGCCGGCCTTTGTAACCAACTTTCCTGTTGTGTTTCATTCTCAAGAGTACCAGGCACTTAGTTTTCTTTGCAAGGCTTATGAGTATATTTTGGAGTTGCAACTGTCTATATTAGATGCTTCAGCAGCAGCAGCAACTGGATTTTTTGACCTTTTAGAGAACCTCCTGAAAGGTAAGTGATTTCTAAGCAACGTATTTTCTTCCTTTTGAAAGCAGTATGGTGCTTTGTGAATAAATTGATGGGCACTAGTTCAGAGTAAGCTGTCTGGAATTAATGAATCTGTTAGATATGCCCATTAACTTTTTAATTTTCATTATTATTATTATTATTATTATCCATCAAAATTCAAGTTTGCCAAAATATAATTACAACAAAAAGTGTGGGGAAGAGAAATGTTAATGTTATAACTAAGTATGCCTTAAATAAAAACAGATTGCAAGAAAAGCAACAATGCTACTTTCCAAACAGAATATATACCATTACTTAAGAGACTTACAACATCCCTAAAAGTATACTTAAACTTGGGTTTCCTGTACTCTGTTGCACCATTATGTTATGAGCATGCTCTACTTTTCAACAAATCAATTATGAGGCTGCCCTCCTTCTCTTACTCTGAGAAGAGTTATTAATATTATCATATTTATATATTTCCCAAGTTTTGATCATCCATTTTTCCACAGTCCTTCCTTATATATATATATATATATATTTGCAGATTTTAATACAGGTAGCTGTCCATTGGGAGTAAATAACCCATTCTTTTCCCTTTGTTGCTTAGTTTTTCATCCTGCCTTTATTCACCATGCCTCTCTATTTTCTGTGAAGTCCATAGTACCAGCAAAAGCTATAAGGTGCTCAAAGAGATGCGTCAATCCTGGACGACAGCAGATGAAAAGGCAAAAGAGGAAGCATGTTTGAAACTGTGGGAAGCTTTGCATGATGATTTTGGAGGCAAGTACCATAGTGCTCATATATTGCCTTCTAACAGTGACTCGCTACAAAGTTAGGGAATCGGGTTTTGGTAATATAATATATGCTGGTGCTCACTTTATTATTTGTGTAAGAATTATCCTAATAGCAAACTCAGGTGACAAGTGCTAACACTATTGCACCCAAACAACAGCCACTTAAAAGAGAGAGAGAGATACCAGTATGGAGTTTGCAACAAATACACATGTATACAACATGCACATTTGTGTGTGTGTGTGTGTTTGTGCGTGCGCGCACACACACAAACACACACACTTTGTTAATTTTTAACAAAACTACTAATTGGGAACTCTCCCCCCAAAGGCCTGATGAATACTGAGCATGTTCAGTAGCTGCAGAATGTACAGTAACAGTCTGAAAAGAGAAATGGAATACAAGGGGAGTGGAAAGGCCTCATAAAAGAGAATGGCTGGAACCCAGGATCACTCTTTTAGGGTTGAGAATAGACTTCAACATCCATACCTGTTGCGTATGCTTAGAAGTGAACTTCCTACTCCACATGAAAAGTGTTTCATTTTTTAAAATCCCAGAGAAACCCTGAGCCAATTCAAAGGCTCAGAAATGTGTCATTCTGCCAGCCATGTATGACCTCTCCTGTCACACAAACTTATCACTGGCAATCAAGGATGGTGGATGTTTGTAAGCTTTTACAATGCTTGTCTGACAACCACAATTTTGGAGCTAGGTGGGGCTGGGGGTGTTAAGCGGGTGTAATTTGGATTTTCTCCAATAAACCACACAGTTTCCTATTTAGAGGGTCATGGATCAGGTTATTTTTAAGCCAACTAGCAAATGTTGCAGGGACGGGACATTGTTCAACTTTTTAGAGAGTGAGCCCCTTTCAGTGAAATGGAACTTACTTTTGAGTAGGGATGGAAGAGGAATTCAGTTCACTTTGCAATTAAAGTTGAACATGTCAAATTCACAGAAAAGTGCATATATTGGTGAAATTAACAGCCATATTGCTTTTCTTCTAACACCCCCACCCCCAAAAAATGTGTCCATAGGAATTTAAGAAGCTTAAGATATGTCTTATCTCCCTGCGGTATCTTCAAGCAGCTTGTTGAGATGGTCTATACAGTGGTACCTCGGGTTAAGAACTTAATTCATTGTGGAGGTCTGTTCTTAACCTGAAACTATTCTTAACCTGAAGCACCACTTTGGCTAATGGAGCCTCCCACTGCCCCTGCACGATTTCTGTTCTCATCTTGAAGCAAAGTTCTTAACCCAAGGTACTATTTCTGGATTAGCGGAGTCTGTAACCTGAAGCGCATGTAACCTGAAGTACCACTGTAGTTCTCAAATGGTTGTTTTTCTTCCGAAAACAGGAGTTATAAAAGTGATATCTATCAGCCCTTTTCAAGCCATTAAAAGTAAGTAATTGCTTTTTTATTTGCATTGCCTTTCTATTCTCTGTAGCCAGTGCCATTTAGAGGATAGACATAGAGTTAGATTTGGATCTTTAATGCCTGAATAAAGCCCCATTTTAGACTCTTTGAGCTGAACCCAAATGAACAGAAAGAAAACAGCTGCTAGCAGTGTTCCACAAGCACTAGTACAAGCAGTACAAGAGATTCTGTTTCATGCTTACATTGGGCAAGTGCAAAACTCTTCAACATGTTTTGCTTCAATTTCATTTTTCCTCTTAGAATGCTCTGGCAGAGGGATGCGGAATGTGTGACCCTCCCAATGTTGTTAGATCCTGCATCTCATCAGCTGCACTGCCAGTTATCAGAAATAATGGGAGACACAGTCCAATGATATCTGCATTTCCCCATCCCTTCTCTAGAACAAAGCACACATCTGTGCATATGTGAGCAGAAAGTACCTTCTGGAGCTAGCAAGGTTCTGTTATGTGCCTTTGGGAGAATCACCGTCTCTCAACTTTGCACCTCTAAGTAGAATTAAGAATATCAGCATGGGCTTGGTACTGATGAGCACTGCAAAGGCTCTTAAAAAATCAGGAACGCTATCAGTTAGTAGCAATGGCCATCTGTACTCTGAAACATCCCTATGGAAGTGCCTGAATCTATCCAACTGATAGATTGGAACTGAACAATAAGAAATCCTCATAAACTTCCACCCCCCCCAAGAAACATTCCATGGATGTATAATGTAAATAATATAGTTAAACATGAAGTTTGTAAGTAGCTTAGAATTGAATGTACTCTCTGTTTTAGCAGATTGTCCCAATGTGAGCCATGGGTGGTGAGAGGGCACCATTGCTCTTTCCACTGAATTCAATAATAAGTACCATACAGTTTCAAAATCACATTTTGTATTTGTGTTCCTGAACACTCTAAGGTGCTTTGTTAGTTTCTCCATAAGGGATATGCTCTTTATTCTGTCCCACCATGCCTCTGGAATTAAATTATTTGCTGCTTTGCAGTGTTGTGTAATTATATTTCTAGCTGCAAACAATGATTAATAGGTCCTTAATGAATAAATTCTTATTGTCATCTAGATTCAGATTTAATAAAGCTAGCCTCGGATCAGGTTGTATCACCTGATCCAAGGCTTCAAAGATTATTTCCCAAAATAATTGAAAGGTGTATGGTTTATCCAATCTTTTGTGCACTATTTGCTTCAGTGTGAACTGTTCAGTTTTATTTGTTTATATAGTTTTGTTCTGCTTTTGTTTGGTTTTCAGGAAGCCTTATCGAATGCTATTGTATTGTTATTTATTTATGTGGCATTCTTAGCTCTGAATCTCATTTAATTTAGACTGGATCATGCTCATCCACAAAACCAATGTATGTATTCTGAAGTGGACTTGGGGAAGCACCGATAACTTCTTTCACAACGACCGTAAGATTGTTTCGCAATCACATTCATGATAGTTTACTTATAATTGTAAGTTTTTATATTTTACAGCAGAATCTCGGTTTTTGAATGTAAACCATTCCGGAAGACCGTTTGACTTCCAAAACGTTCGAAAACTGAAGCATGCATTTCCGGAAGCAATTACTCAATATGGAAAACTCAATATGGAAGCCATGTGGCACGTTCGGCTTCCGAAAAGCGTTCAAAAACTGTAGCATTTACTTCCGGGTTTTCGGTGTTCGGAAGCCGAAACGTTTGACTTCTGAGACACTCGAAAACCGAGCTACCACTGTACTGCATGTTTCGGACTGTGACTGCCACATCATCATGCCATGGGGATACTGTCGAATAGGGATAAGTTTAGAGATGGGGCAAGGATTTGGACTAGGGATGGTCAACTATTGGTTGACTTTTCATGGAAAGAATCAAGTAGTGATGGCCGTGTCCCTTCCCCCAAAGACAAATTATCTCACTCTGTAGAAGGGGATGGGTCACACCTATTAGAGGGGCTCATTGTGAGACAGCTTCCTATGTTATGCATTCCTGCTCCTAAGAGAGTCAGCTAGCAAACAGCAGTTAAAAGTAAAATACTACTTCCAACTCCTTTCCAAATAAAACCTTTCATTTAAAGTAAAAAAGGGGAGACCTGGTAAAGTAATTCTTGAATTGGTAGATTCAGCTAACAAGTCATAGAGCCAAACCTTCTCTTTTCCACTAGCATTTTCCATTAATGGAGAACTTGGAGGTGCATGTGGCAGCTTTAGATATATTTCAAATTAAGAAGGGGAAAAAATGGAAATCCTCAGGAACAGTATGCTTCACCTTGGAACACACTGGAACAGAGTTGTCTTGGGGCTATTTGACTCATATTTGTATCCCAACTGATCTTTCTCCAGAGTTTGTGTTGGTTCAAACATTTACACTGAAGTTTTGTGTGATGTTATGTTCTTAGCCGATGTTAAAGTCCCAGCGCTAAAAGGGAAAGATGTCGTGTCCCTGATTGATGCTGGCCTGGCAATAAATACTGCTTACCCGCTTATTCTCTACCCTGAGAGAAATGTGAAGCTGATCCTGTCTTTTGACTTCAGTTCTGGGGACCCTTTTGAGGTAATTCATTTTATGAAAGGGGCAGACAGATAGGCATACAAGGCTAAAATACGTCTTGTCTCCCTTTCTAATTTTTCATGGCAACAGGAATTCAGATGATGAAGTGAAACCTTGTAATGGATGTGACTAACTTAGGACCATTAAATTCAGTGAGACTACTCTGAATTTAACTTAGTTGGATACAAATCTTTGACTCATTTCCTGACCAATCAATTGTTGTCAGAAACCCCCCTCTCTCTGTGAAATAACTATGATACAACCTCTTCTCAAGCATTATCCCAGTTTTCCATAGATGACACTGCTTGGGAATATCCGCTCACCTGGGATATTGCAGCAGCATGGCACGGCCATGGTGGGTCCAGGAGACTGCCATATTCTAGTGGCTGGAGGAGGTGATGGCTGGCACTGCCCACCTCCAGCTACGTCGGGCACTCAGGTAAAGGTGGGCAGTGCTCTCTTAGCCAACCAAAGGCAGGAGCTTAGGGGTTGCAAGCAGCCTGCCCCCAGCCTATTTAAGGGGGCAGACAGGTGTTGGCCACCCTCATGGCTGACTGGGACAGATCAAGTGGCAAATAAAGCATTGGGCTGGATCCTTAGTCACAGGGGTACCCCGTTAGAGGGGTATAGGAGGGCTGACTCTGTCTGGGAGACCACTGGGGGACCAATGGGCCAATGCACCACGATAAATGGCAGCCTGTGTGGGGTCATAGCATCCAATCCATGTTGTGGGTCACTCCCCAGCACAAGTTTGACCCCATCAGGTTGCTTTCAGGTAGCAGGCAGGCTGCCTGATGCAGGATACATGCCCAATGCCTTAGCCAAACCTACTCTTTTCTGTAATCAGTAAACTTGTGGCCTAATTCAACCCAATACCAGTTTCTGGTGCAATTCTTCTCCCCCCCTTCACCTGCTGCAGCCATTATGCTCCTGTGCTGTCAAGTATCAATGTATGTAACACTGAGAATCCGATGTTAACAGAGCATTGGAGGAGGGAGCAATGTTACATCACTTCTCAAGTTGCTGAGGTAATGTTAGAAAAAAAGGATGTTTAGGAAAGAGACATATAGAAGCTTAGTGGCAGAACACCATTTTTCATGCAAAAGGCCCCAGGGACAACCCCTTGCATCTTCTGGTAGAGCTGAGAAAGATTCCATGCCTTAAATCCTAGATATTGCCAAGAGGTGAAGGCAATACTGAGTTAGATGCGCTGTTGATCTGACTTGATAAAAGCCAGCTTCCTATGTTCCTGTGAGCCCCAAAAGCAACACAGGAAGCAAAGTGGCAGCTATTTTTCTAAGTGGATTTGTCAATGCATTAAATAGTTTTCTCTTCCTTTTGGCACAGACCATCACAAAAGCTGCAGAGTACTGCAAAGTCAATGGAATCAAATTTCCCAAGATAGATGAGAAAGATCAGCAAGAGAAAGACAACCCGTTGGATTGCTATATCTTCAAAGGAGAGGGCCTAACTATCATGCATTTCCCACTATTCAATAGAGTCAACTGCCCAGGTAACTTGAGAATAGGGCTCATTTGGTGTTTTTTGTTTTGTTTTTAATGATCAGAGATTAAAATGATTGAGAAGTAAGAATCCAGTGGGTCATTTCCTCCCAACATTAAATTGCTCTGGTAGCACATTCACCTTCATGTTTAAACTCATCTTCCATATTTCCTTTCTTTCTGAGACATTTCCCCTTTTCCTGACTGGTGAACATTGCCTTCCTTAAGGTTCCTTTCTCCATATCAGATAAATCCTACTGGGGCCTCATTAAACTTCCCTGCCACATACATTCCAACATTTCACAACTGAAAATAGGGACAGACCTCAAAGCCCCTATTCACAAGCCACCCGATTGCACATTGTTCTATGCAGTCTATTATATCCATAGACTGCCCTTCATTCATTTTTCTAAAAAGGACAATAGAACGTTTCCTCTTTCAGCTATACTACAAAAACATAATTATTATAGACTCATAGAGTAAAAGCAGGCCTTGTAAACCACACTGTCCTGCTGAGTTCAGGAAATTTAGAGCTTGAACATCCCAAACAAGTAGCTCTCTAACCTTTTTTGAAAATCTTTCACAAAGATGTCCCCAAAATTTCCCCAATTAGCTAAGAACTGCGGACCCCATGTTTTTCAAATGCCTAGCAATGGACCCCTACCTTTGAAAATTTTGGTATCTCTATTGTAGTTTTTGTTATGTGATTCTCCTAATGTTTGGACGAAACCTCCCCTTCTGTAACTTAAGCATATTAGATCTACTCTTGCCCTTTGGGTAATATATTATCAATATGATATCAATAATTTGAAATCAACATCACCAACGATAGTATGTGATATAGGAGGCATTGTACTACATGAGACATTATATACTCCAGTGCATGTCTTTATATGCCTGCGTATAAACCTTAGATGCATCTGTGCAACCAAACTCAGAGTTTTAAAAGCTAGAGATTAAGGGAATGCAGCGAATCCTGCATAATGCAACTCTTGCAGTGTGCTCAATGAGCAATTCAATGTTTAGCTGTGATCCTCTTTCTGTAGAAAAGTGCAGGGGGAAGTAAAGTTACATGCAATATTCTCTTTTTTTGCCTTTTTTATTTTATTGATTTATTTTACTGACACCAACACAGACAACACTCACAAAACAAACAAAAAGATACTACAACTACAAATGCAAAGTAGATGTTACAGACACATCAGTAATTCAGTTCTTATTCATTTCTATTAGACTTCTTTCATCCTCAGCGCAGGTCCGGTTGTATACTTAGTCAACTGCTTCTTTCACAATTCCTCTTCTCTAATTTTTTCTTTATCTTACATTCTTACACCATAATTTGTTTTGTGGAAATTAGTCAAGACAAGTCCAGGTATTACCTAATTTGAGGGCACTGCTTTTTTAGATACTCACTATATTTTCCATATTCTTTCTGAAATTTTTGTTTGGATTGATCTCTAATTGCTTCTGTCAATTTAGCCAGTTCTAAATACTCAAATAACTTATCTTGCCACTCTTTTTTTTTGTTGGGATTGTCTCATGTTTTCAATTTTTGGCAACTAGAATTCTTGCTGCAGCTGCCACATATTCTCTTATTTTCCCTTGCAATATCTGACTCTAATATTTCCAATAGAAAGGCTTCTGGTTTTTTTAAAAAAATGTTTGAATATTTTCTCCAGCTCTTCATAAATGATATCCCCAAAACTTCTAACTGTATCACAAGTGCACCACATAGGCAGCAGTGTGCCCTTCGCTTGTTTGCATCTCCAACACATTTTCAATTTTGTTCTATACATTTTAGATAGTTTGTAAGGTGTCATAAAGCATCTGTAGAACATTAAATAATTTTCTTTTATTGCTTCACATGCCATGAATCTCCAGTTCTCCTTCCACAATTTCCCCCAAGCTGCTAATTGAATAGGTTTACCTATATCTATTGCCCATTTCACCATCACTTCCTTCACTTGTTCGCCTTTCACCTCCCATTCTAGTAAGGTTCCATACATCCTAGATATTACTTTTATCTTGTTTTGTATTATTCCCTCCCCCCCATAAATGCAATATTCTTAAACTCATCAGTAATGGGTTACTTTATAGTCACCCTCCAATGTGCCTGTTTTTCAGGTAAAATTGATGAATACGCTTCAACGTTTAAAACCTTCAAGTTGAAGTACTCGGATGAAGAAATTGAAAAGCTACTCACTGCAGCGAAGATGAATGTAGCAAATAATCATCAAAAGATTTTGGGTGAGATCAAGGATATTATGGGTTCTCCTCAAAGGCCTTAATCAAATGTTATAGGCCATCTAACTTGTGAAGAGCCTCAAAGAGCTGGCTCTCCTCATGAGATTTTGTTTGTTTGGAGAACTTAAAATCACTTTTGGGTATTGGTTGGGTGCAAAACTGTAATGTCTGCATTAAATATAAAACATATGCTCAGGAAGAATTCCTTTCCTTTTTGAATGTGTGTTTCAAGCATTGTCTGTTTATACATAGGTGATTCTCTGCTTCAAGAATGTGGAACTTTGACCCTCCAGATGTTGTTTGGACCGCAACTTCCAGCATATCTGATCATTGGTCATGCAAGCTGAGGCTGATCAGAGTTGGAGTCCAACAACATCTGGAGGGCCACAGGTTCATCATGCCTGGTCTAGATGGTATAGTACTAATAATGAAAAATATAACAATGGATAAAAAATAACATGTATAATACTGTCAACGAAACAAGTTCATATTGCATATCATTGTAGATATAACACTCTCTGGATAATGTGTTATATGGATTAAATAGAATGACTATGGTCCAAAGGAACTCTTTCCCTCCTATTTTTTGTTTGTTTGTTTATGAGGTGCTTTTAATTGTTCTGTATATTACACAGCTTTCTACATGGTGTAGTGCTAAGAGTGATAAGTATAAGGCAAGATTCAGATTAAGTTACTTCCGTCCCACTGAAGTTGCAGCTAACTTGTACCATTGATTTCTATTGGAGAAGAGCACATAGGGAGCTGCCTAATTCTGTATCAAATCATTGGTCCATTTTTGCTCAGTGTTGGTTATACTGACTGACACTGGCTGTCCAAGATTTCAGACCAGGATCTCTCCCAGCCCTTCCTGGAACTGTCAGAGATTGAACCTACAGACAACATGCATGCTCTTCCACCCCCAATTAAATCTATCATAAATATGTGATATACAAGGGAAGTTTTGCAAAGGAAAACAATCTCACTGGACTACACAGCTTCTCAAGAAAATAAGCCCTCTCTGAAAGATGAGACATCCAGTCAAAGTATGAATAAAACAAAGAAACAAAATAAGATCACTGTAATGAATGTCATATGTAGAATGTAATTAATCTAATAAAGATAGCACCTAAATGTTCTTTAATATGTTGTCAGATTTTATTGGTAAGTACAAGGTTTTGAAAGGCAAGTGCTGGTAGTATGGCCACGCTGCCAAAGGGCTAAGAGCTGCACCTCTTCCTCACTTTTGTATTAGGAGCTCTCTCTGTGTGAATGTGTGGATAGAGCTAGACAGAGACAAAAGTGGACAGATCAATAGATGCGGCTCATGTATTTTTTCGGTAGAATACATTCCAGCCGCACGGAAGTCAGAGGTTTGTACACCAAGCTTTCAACTTATGCTCACATTTCTTATATGATCCCAAGCTTACATTAGGGTTTATTTCCAGAGGCAAAAATCCAGACAAAAGAAGTTGTTGAGCTTTTATTCCCACGATTGCAAAAAAATATGCTGAGCTTCTCTGCTGAGCCCATGCTGCCCACACCAGAGCCCATACCTGAACCCGAACCACCCACCCACCCACCCACATGCACACCCACCCACAGAAATTTAACCCCTCCCCAGACCCCAGACATTTCCTTAAAATGGTAAAAATCCTCCTGGATGGGCATGTACGCCCCCAAAAGAGGACATGTCTGGGATTTCTTGGACGTATGGCAACCCTACCTTATATCGGCAATAAAATGCAGTGGTACCTTGGTTCTCAAACTTAATCTGTTCCGGAAGTCTGTTCCAAAACCAAAAGCATTCCAAAACCAAGGCGTGCTTTCCCATAGAAAGTAATGCAAAACAAATTAATCTGTTCCAGACTTTTAAAAACAACCCCTAAAACAGCAATTTAACATGAATTTTACTATCTAACAAGACCATTGATCCATAAAATGAAAGCAATAATCAATGTACTGTACTATAAAATAAATAAGACAGTATTGTAGATGATAAAAATGAAAAATTATTTATTTTTTCTTCCCTGCACTGATGATAGTCAGTTTGGATGGTGGGCTTTTATCCATTTCCGCAGTCATACAATCAATCAATCAGTAGCTGAACTGGGTTCCACAAAGTCACAAAAGCAAATTAACCGAAAAAGCCTCAAAAACGCAAAATGAATAGCAAAAACAAAAGCGTCAAACTTAATCCATTCCAGAAGTCCATTTGACTTCCAAAATGTTCGAAAACCAAGGTACAGCTCCTGATTAGTGCAGGCTTCCCAGAAACAATAGCCGACAACTGCATCGGACGTTTGGCTTCCAAAAATCGTTCGAAAACCAGAACACTTACTTCCGGGTTTTTGGAGTTTGAGAACCAAAGTGTTTGAGAACCAAGTCATTTGGGAACCAAGGTACCCCTGTAATAATAAGAATAATAAACTGGAAAATTCAGGGGAAATAAAAACATGTTGTAGAAAAAATGTCAAAAGGAAGTGGAGGAGTGGGAAACAACCGTTGGCAATCTCATCAGCCATTGGACTCACCCTGGGAGAGTATGCGGGTATTGTCAGAGAGTTGGAGAGGAAGATAGGACCTAGCAAGAGCATGGAGAACAAGCAGAGGTCATCTGAGTGAAGAGGAGGTGATCTGAGCCTTCCTGGTTTTATGTGTTTTTGCGCCTGTGTGCTGTTCCCAGGAACTGAACCCCCACGTAAGCTGCAGGCTTAATGTACACACACCCTCTCCTTTCCTTGCCTCTGCAAAGAAGCCATTTCCAAAGAGCCCCCTGCAAAATTGAGCTTGCTGCCCTGCTGTCAGTTGGGAGCGGGGTGGAGAGCAACATCTACTTCTCCCTCCCCCTCTCATCTGTATGTTTAATTAGGCATTAGACATTCATTAAACATAAACACCACCCTCCAAACTACTTTGGGACTGGACTCAAGGTGGAGCAGGTGGTCCCCAAGTTGACCCAGGGAGGGTTGATGGTGTGGAGGGGAGGTGCACAGCCCTATTATTTTGACTTTTAAATCCACACATTTTAGTTTCTCTTGAAGTCTTTCCCCCTCCCGGTAATTTGCATGTTTTTCTGACTTTCTTGTGCTTCTTATGATTAATTTTGTGAATGGCTTTGATACAACTTACTAATCATGTTCAGACACTATGCCTGAATAGGGAATAGTAACCATGGCTTCCCTGTGTGCTCCATACTGACCATCTTGCTTTGAATGTTTCCTTACTGCACAGTGGTGTCTAAACATGTTCAACAAAATGGACTTAGAAAATGCCTGCAGACATTCCCATTCCGTGCTGGTACATTGGGTGTGCAGCATGCAGGAGACATTGCAGGCATGTGTGCATACCCATCCACACACCCTACTCTTGTTGACTTGGGCTTTTAGGAGGTCGCACATGAATTTCACTTCAGCTGAAATGCAGTGGCAGTCTAGGGAGGGTGTGGGAATCCCATGAGAAATTCTGGTAATCAAACACTTTTGCCTTCCCTTGAAACCCTTTGTTTTGTCTACTTAGACATTCCCCAAAGAGATTTACAAGCAATACTTTTTATTACTTATTCAGAAACAAAGAATCCCTCAAACATTTCCTAAGACATTAATTAGGACATGAATGCCTACTGCTTCTCACATTCTTCTTAAGCCCGATATAAGAAGCCATGGGTGTTAGGACAGAGTCAAGTACTGTCACTGCACTGATCCCTGAGAGGTCTGTGTATGAGGAAACATCATATCTATGCTTAAAGAATAAGACTTTGAAAAATCAAAACAGACCACAGCTTTATGTTTTTACTCACAGAACACTCCTTACCATATAAGCATATTGTGATATATTTTCCTGGATACCTGTTTTCATTTATCACCTTCAACCTATCATCTCCTAAGTGGATTAATGATAGGAAACTATTTGTCTACTGATATTTGCCGAAGGTGAGTTAACAAACGGAATATACTTTCTCGTGTGCTCAGACTCTGAAAGAGGTGGCAAATTTTCAGGGTTTGTTGTTGCAGGGTTGATATTAACTGTTTGTGTATTGCCTTATGGAACATTAACTCCTGACTCCTCCAGAAGCTGCCCAATTCTTTTATTGAATCAGAGTGCACTCCTTCCTGTTTGCCTGCTTCTCGTGTAATGCTTCTTATGTAATGCTAATCAAACAGATTGCATTTCTCCTGCTAAGCTGATGGAAAGGATGCAGAAACTAGAGGAGAGAAATGAAACCATCATTACAGAATTCATCCTTCATGGCTTTGGAGACCTACGTGATCTGCAAATTCCTCTCTTTGTGGTGTTTCTGGTTATTTACATCATGACTATAGTTGGGAACCTGATCATTGTTGTGCTAGTTGTGAGAGTTCAGCACCTCCGTACCCCCATGTATTTCTTCTTGGGCAATTTGTCTTGTTTGGAGATTTGTTACAGCTCAACCATCCTCCCTAGAATGCTGGCCAGTTTCTTAACTCAGAACCAAGCTGTGTCTATTTATAGCTGTTTTCTTCAGTTATGGGCTTTTGTGGTTTTTGCGGCTGTAGAATGCTATCTCCTGGCAGCAATGTCTTATGATCGCTACTTGGCAATTTGCTGACCCCTGTACTACTCCACACTTATGAATCTCAAGATTTGCCTTCGGCTTGTTGCTGGATCTTGGATTGGCAGCTTTGTGATAAACACAGCCTCATTTCTCTTTATATCACAGTTATCCTTTTGTGGCCACAATGTCATCGAGCATTTCTTTTGTGATTTCACTCCATTGATTAATCTGGCCTGCAGTGGCGCACAACAAGTTAAACTGGTATCAGCCATTCTGGCTTCTTTTGCTACCCTGCCACCATTCATTCTGACCGTAACATCATATGTGTATATCATTGCTGCCATTCTTCGAATCCCCTCTGCCACAGGAAGGCAAAAGGCCTTCTCTACCTGCTCTGCTCACCTCATTGTGGTGAACTGAAAGAACTGAACAAAGTGTTCTCTGTTTTTTACACCATCTTGACACCTTTGGTCAGTCCCCTCATATACAGCCTGAGGAACAAAGAAGTGAAAGAAGCCCTGAGAAAGTCAGGTAGCCAATTTTGTAATTCACATAAGAGTGCATTGACCTCTTGTTTTCAGGCTTGATCATGTTGAATTCTAATATCACTTGGAATATTCTCCCTGTATAGCTAAGGAAGGATACAGCAGGGTACCATCTGGATTGGAGATTAAGTGAATCTCATATATCATATTTGGAGCTTTCCAGAGGAACCACAATATATGAATTAATATAGATGAAAACTGGTAATTGGAATTTTTTCTTGTACATACACAACTTCTAAGTTACTTAACTTTCCTTGGTCCTTTCCAGTTCAATTATTTTGAATGTCAGTGTTTGTTTCAAGATGAATTGTAATGAGGAATGAAAGGGCTTCTTCTTCAAGAAATCAAAACATTTAAAAGGATTCTGCTTTTGTTTTGGCTGTATTGAACACCTGGGATACTCCTTCCAGTACCCTCTACATTTCGGCCAATGAACATCAGAGATGGATGTCATGAATCACATATAACAAATCAACTTTCTTTTTGCAATACCTTCTCCTAATGTTCACACTTAGTCACACTTACCACCTATCCCTCTTTTAATATTTGTTGCATTCGCAAAGTAAAGGAAGGATTGAACTCTGATTAATAAGAATACACACAGAGGCTTGAACCAGCAAGACTCTGGGAAGGGTGTGTATAATCGTCTCTCTGTGCTTGTCCATCTGCAGCCCCTGTCCCAGGTAGTTTTATTCACAAAAAAGCTTTTTACAGAGTGTTCGTAAGAACCAATCAGATTTCTTCTGAGCAATACATAAACAAGCAATACATATGATAAGAAGGATGGCCAGGAGGACAACGATCATTATCACTTTCATGTGAGATCTGTTTCCTGGCCCTAAGATTAACATCCTAAGATTACCATATCAGAAAGCTACTTCCAAGAAGCTTGCCCATTATCTTTATGGCCCAGGATGCCTGCCTGGCGAAGCAAATGGGCTGTGTACGTGACTTTTCAGGCAAGAGAGATGGACAGTAGAGGCAAAAGGGCATGGAAAGGGCATGAATGTAGAATCTTATGGGATTTAATCAGAAACTATCGTCAAAATATCAAACCCAGTCA